TTTCGATACCCCAACTTCCACAGCCACCATTGAGCAGCCTGCTCACTGATTGTCTTCTTGGCATCCTCAGGGAATAAGGTGGGAAGAAGCACCTCATTGACATGTTGCATTAATTTCTGAGTTGTCACCTAATCAGATGTTGGCAGTGAGTCGTGGATGATACCCAGATGGATTCAAGTTTACTTCGCCCAAGGGCTGTTCTGCCAGATGCCATCTTACACCCATTACCACTGCTTCATTATGAAGAAAACTCTTTGCACTCCCTTTCTTTGATCGACACCTTTCTGGGAGCTTTCGGAATTGTTTAATGTGGTGTGTCATCTCTCGGATTTTACGTGCAAATGCTGGGCCCTTTCCCATGTGTTGTGCCACCACAAGACTTGCTGCCTGCAAAGGTCTCTGGTGCTTTCTTCCTGGAATGGACCGCTGCTTTCGATACAGCTGTATATATCCAGCTACCGCTGTGAGGACCATAATCTCTCTCAATGTTGCCATTGAGGTGATCCATGTTGCTTGTTTCACAAGTTTGTGTATAGTGGCCAGGATATCTTCTTCAGGTTCTTCTTCAGTTAGAATGCCTTCAATGGACTGGCAGATGTCAGTGGAGCGCTCTGTATTGGTCGCATCAGTGGTGGCAAGTGGTCGAGTATCTGGTCCGGCACGGTTCAAAGTCCCATCTTCAAACACTTCTCTGTCATCTATGTCCTCCAGTGCTGCGCTACTGCCTATATCGTCTGGGACTTCTTCATCACCGACCTACAGGGAGATCGATGACATTGCTCTGGCATACTGTCCAATGGTGTGTAACAGATGCATGTACCATCTCATCCTTCAAACTCATTGTCTCGAAACCTCGCATCAACTGTGTGAATCTCTCTTCAAATTCCATGATGGTGCTTTCTCAGCTTCTCTCTGTGGTGTTCTTCCCAGAAATATCAGTTGTGCTCACTTGGAAAAATGAAACTGATATGAGGACTGACCGGCTGCCTCAAGAACTTTCTGAGGATATCGGCATCACAAGTTGTCGCCGCTTTCATTAGGTCCCTGCACTTTGCTTTCACCCGATACTGAGTCCGAGTGGAATCTCCAGTATATGCGCTCTGGAGCTTTGCCTTGAACAGTGGATATTGAGTGGTCATTATGGGTGTATGGGACATACCTCCCGAGTCCTTTTCTCAACATCTCCTCGGTGGCTTGGCTCCTCAAAGACACTGTAAAATATCTCTAAGCTTCTTATATGGTCTTCCTCTTCAGATTCCTCTGTCGCATCAGCACCCTCGGAGCATAAGTCTGTTGAGATGTCTGAATTTGCAGCCGGATTGTCCTCATATTCAGATGGGGAGTCGCCCTCAAAATCTGAGTGCTTAAGACGCTTCCCAAATGTCCTTGAGCTTCCTGTCCTCTGTTCGCGTGCTTGGCGCTTGCAAGCATTTAAGGCAGGCATTTTGACTTAAGGGACCTTGATGCTCAGGTAGCACATGATTGCGATGCCGCACAGACAAACTGGTGTTGTTTGTAACCAACTCAAATATAATACCATCTATCCATGTCATTTTGGACCAGTTGGACATCATTTGAACACGTTTCCTAATTCACTGCCAATTTTTTTGAGAAAAAATTTTTTCATTACTCAAAATTACACAAAATTGCTCTGATACATTGGTAAAGTACTTAAAAGTGCTGCCTTTCTGCTAGTTTCCATACAGTTTAAACAAGTTTTGCGAGCTGAGAAAGAAAGTCCTTCAGAAGCAAAGTGAGGTGTCAAAAATAAGCAGCCTAACACTGTAGATATCGGTTGTCCAAGGTGGTGCAATAGTGTCATATCCATCCCCAGCCATCGACTTCCGGTCTCTCCGATCCCTCCGTTCTAACTCCGCTCCCCCCTCACCAACCTCGGAGCCCCCGTATTCCGCAAACCTCTCGGTACCCCTCGATGGTCACCACCCCCTCATTTCAATTTATTACCTACGCCTCCCTAAGTACGGAGCCCCGAAGACTTCCGGACAGCTCCGACGTCCGCTAGCGCACTCCCGCCTCCGCTGGGCAATACACTCGCCTGCCCTGCAGAGCCCACCTTCGGGCCTATCCCTCCTTTCCGTTTCTGGGTTAACGCCTGCCTTTCCGCTAACCCCACGAACCGACTCGTCGGTAATATTCAGTCGGCTAATGTCTTAACCCCGTTAGCTCCGCTCCGTTCGGCTCCGCCAATTGCGGAACCGTCTCCGCTGTAACCATATATATACCCCACTTGTACATAGGTTACGCCCTAGCAGAAAAATCAACTAGAGTTACCCCCCTAGGTTCTAAGTGCCAGTCAGTAAGTTAGGGCACGGACGTGTCACTAGGCACAGCGCTCTTGGCAGAAGTCGCTGAGGCCAAAGCCCTCCGTTATGGAGACATTCCTTCGTCTCGAGTCTGGTCTCTGACAAATAGCAGACACATATGACCTGGGCATGGGTGTTACAGTTAAGCCGTAACCCCAGACAGACTTAATGGAGGTTTCACATGTCCTGCATATCTCAGTTCCATTTCAACTCATGTAGCTTAAGACTTCCTGTATGTTTCTCTTGTCTCATATGTCTCACCTCGCATGTTTTAGCACATATTCATGTATATAAGGAGTTGACCAGTGAAGACAGACTCTTCAACTGGTCAACACAGGTCACCAACCTGAATTGACTTCTTGTGATCTTGTGACTGTTGGAGGAACCGTGTGCTATGGGAGGCCGGACGAGTTTTCATACAGCCACATTCCCACATCCGGGTGAGGAACTCGCCCGGACAGCCACATTCCCGCGGTAGCGTGACTACTTAGTCACAACACCTTTTCTCTTTTATATTATTTCGGACTAATCCACGGACATATTCATTCATTTGAATTCATTTCCTTTTCCCTCAGTTCTTCACGCATATTGGCTGAGACTGAGGTTAGTTAGTTACATTCCCTCATTGCTTTATCATTGTAACTTATATTATGTATATTACCTCTAGTCATTACTCATAGGTAATATATCTAGTTCTTCACGCATATTGGCTGAGACTGAGTCATTACTCATAGTCCAGCTCCGGGATCACAAGTGTCGCTCATCAACAGTGACTTGTGGCTCGTGATCTTCTTGCTCATGACCTCGCTTCTCGTGATCTCACAACTCTCGCTCCGTTCTCACGCTCTTAGCGCCGAGAGGTTTGTGACAGACGGGTGGCGTAAGCCACACCCTCAACTTGGTATAATGATGTCATCGATTCAGTTATGATGATGATAGTTGAACTGTTCTACTCTCAGCCGGGGCAGTGCATGCAAACCAGCGCGGTATGGCCTCATGCAAACAACCAAGGGCCCGTGCTGTGCGCTCCCAGCAAGCGCGCTCAAGTCTGGAGTAGGAGCATCGAACTGCAGCCAAAATAAAAAAAGGTCTACTAGGAAGATTTGTAAATGATCTCTGGAGATTAGCCTGACGAAGCGTGAACCGTTTCGTGAATCCACGTGAAGAAGTTGGAAATATTGTTTTTTTTTTTTTGGTCAAAAAAATCTATTCAACTTAGTGTGGATGCACTTCCGGAACCCCTTGCATGAGGCCATTTAGGACATTTGATCAACCTTCCTGATCATATGGTCCGCAGGACTTCTTGAAATCGTGATGTATATAGGAAGACGAGTTTAGTTTTTTTTTTTTTTTTTGATTTGTGCAGTGGCGGAATGGCGCGCGGGCGATAGCACTAGTGACAGTGCATACACAATTTTTCGAGCTTGAGCTGGAAAAGCTGAAAATGTTCATGGTTGCCTTGAGGGACATGATGGCATGAAACATACTAGGCACGGCTGACATTTGTGAGCTGCTTGAACGACGTTCATGTTCTTGGCTGGCGCGTTGATGCGCCACCTTCAAGTCCGAATGAGTTAGCAAGCGAATCGGGTAGCTGTTCGATCCATCATATGGGAGGATTCTCAGGGCATGTTTTTCAACCTGTTGTACATGTGCATCGCAGTGCATGAGCCAGAGATTAGTACTATTGCAGTGCAGGGCATTCAATGGCCAATCCGCACAATTTTGATCGACCTAGCTAAGGAGTAGCCTGAGGCAGGTGACCAGCCTTGATAGTATAGAGCTAGGGGGGGTTCTTTCAAGTTTGCTTTTTTCCCCTCGCTTAGCTCCCCTTGTCAAATGATGGCAAGAAAACTTTCCGCTCAGTTTTCCTACTTAATTGCATCAATTCCGGTATCGACTTCAAGTTAGGGGCCTCACAAAGCTCCCATGCCTCGAGGTTCCACAGAGGTAACAACCCCACGTTCATCAATAAATAAGGAAGAGAACAGGCGATTCGGATCTTGTGAAAGTCCCCTCGTGTACTGTAGTTGGGATAAGTATGCTCTGTCACGTGCTAACGCGGAAATCCGATATCAACAATATTCAGACCCAAAATGGGACTCAATTCCCACGCCCCTCAGCGCGCGCTCTATGTACTGTAAATGACATCCCATCTATGAAACGCTCACACCGGGTTGCGAAATAGCAGTAATGAGATGTCCGGGCACACATCTGATAGTCCGACTCCCAATAATTATACTGTGAGGTGGCTGAAGCGGGTAATACCATCCTAATATCCAATCCCCGCCCAATCCCCGCCAAAATGCCCAACGGATAGATATGTAATCCCTGCTGACGACACCCACTGCAATATATATTAGGCCCAGAAAAGGAATTCCACCTTTTTCGGCCTTACTTTGGGACGGCTGCACATGCAAGTAAGAAATGAGTTTACTTTTACTTTACATGTGATAAGCCACGATGCAGTATACTAATTAACTCTACGCGACAACACGTGCGGATACAGTTCAGTCCGACTCAATGCGAGATCGCGAGCGAGTCATCAAGCTTATTTCAGGAAGGGGATGCACATGCACAAGACCACCCACGTGGTTTTTCCGTTCAGGTACCTCATGCTTCCCCGCACTGCGTATGAAATAAAGAAAAGAAAGAAAGAACCACATGAATCCAATGGCTTCGCCAAGTCGTACAATAGGTTGTTAAATATATATGGTTACAGCGACCAGTTAAACCGCACCTTATTCTCTCCAGAACCCTACTCTGTCCTCCGAACCCATTAGCACACAAGACGAATCGTTCACATGTCCCAGAACGAAGAGCGCCGTCCTCTCCTTCAGAACCTCGCCGTATGCGAGGAACCCATCAGCGAACAAGAGGTCTTCCATGTTTGTTCTTAAACCATATTCACCCAACGGTCGCTCATTCTGGGACAATTGCAGATCATACATGGAGAAGGGGGCGCCATCTCCCTTCGCACGGAACCCAGTGATCAAGGGCGAAGCAATATGGAACAGAGAGAAGTGACCCAAGTAGGACGCTCGTTTATTCCCCCCCCCTCCCGACCGTGTTACGTTACTCAATGCGTCATTCATCATTCATTCATCATCCCTCTTTACAGAGAAGTGACCCAGTACATGCGAGCCAAACGATCAACCTGTTCAGAAATGACTCTACTAGTATGACCAGCAGCATTCAGCGAACATCTCAATTCCAGAGACCCACTAGCAACTACTATGTGTTCCCGGCATATCCATCTGATCAAGTCACTTTTCAGGGCGTGGGGCCAACAGTGAATCAGAATGAAAACATGCATCGAAACGAGTTCTTCATGGCGTGCCCTATAGATCATCTTTAAGATATGCATGTAGAAGTTGCACCGGATCACTATGAATGAGATGATGCGACTGTTCCTAATTCTCGAATGTCGTGTGGGGTGGGTACGTTAGCCATTTAGGGGTATTGCAACTAGTGTAGCAAAAGCAGCGAGCAAGCCACGTGCTGTTGCAGACTGCAGTATGAGCGCCCATCTTATCGAGATCGAGAAAGGGAAACTCCGGTTCAATGCCTACACGCATTCATCCCATTCAACTTCAATGATTTTTAATTCAACCACTAGTACGTACTTCCATCAAAGGCAGCGTCTATGCAGTGAAGACCGGGGTTTGAGCTAGTCTCCGTTGTCTTTGGATCATTGCGAGGAAGGTGTGTGTCGCTAGAACCACTGATGATAAACCTGAGGCCGTCGATGGAGTACGAGGAAATGTTGTCGGCGCGACTGACGGTTCAGGCCAGTGGTGTTGCCGCGCTTTAAGAACCGGTCGTTGTTCTTCATGGCCACGTGAAAGTTCGGTTTATACTCTCCTCATCCGGAATGGTAACCCTTGAGCTTCAAAAGACGGTCATCCGGATACTTGAAGCAAGGAAGAGGGGGGGATTCCGAGGATCTCACGCCGGCGTTGATGGGAGGAGAGAGGATAACATGCAGTTCTCTCGGGTTGGCCCAGCGAGTCGAAACGTCCTGGTAGAGGTCGTTGAGCGCTTTCATCTTCTTCGCCTCGTCCAACGCGTCCTCAGCCTTCTGGCGTTCCTTGTCCAACTGCCAGGCCGTCCCTCCCCTCAACCGCCCTAAGACGTCCCCCCTCATGATACTTGCCTTGGCTCCGAGTCGATTCGAGGTACATGGTGAACCCTGCACCGCCGCAAGAGCGTGACGTTGTGATGGCACTGGTTTTTGTTCTTACGCTCGAAAGAGCTCGTTCCTACTCTTGTCTGGCGTGAGGACGATGTTAGCGAATCGGTGGACAAGGAAGCAGAGCCTTTTCTTGGTATTTTCCCGCCGTTCGGCAATAAAGAAACCGTCAATGCCCTCAGTGTAAGGTGTAGACTGGGTAGAGAGGCTGAGGGGAGACCGTGCGAAGTGGTACTAGGAGATTCGTGGATTACCAACGGGTGGAGTTGGAAGAGAAGGTTTGGGCGTGAAGGAGCTTGGGACGGGGCCCAGTGGGTCACAACCGAACTCCCTGATCTCGACGTCGACGTCGACGTCGGCTCTTCAAGGAACTTCCTGCACTTAAATTGGAGGCCACGGTCGAGGCCATCATTGCCCCGAGAGAGAGAGACCCGGGGCATCACGCCGATCCGGGGGGGAACGGAACACTTCTTCGATGTACATACCCGATTCGGAAGAGTGGCGTCGGTGCTTCGTCCGCTTCACTTTCATCTGGCATGGATCTCAGGAACTTGATACCCGGGCCTTCACGAGCGTGTGGGTTGCCGGCGGCACGGTCCTCCCGGTTAAGTATAACTGCCACCTCCGGGCCGGCGGGTGCCTCCCACACAGTGGTGCTAGTGCAATAGCATTCCCTCTCAGAGTAAGGCAAGCCTCTCGCCCGGAAGTTGATATGTTTTTGTTATTTACTAATGCATGTTTCATCACCCACTCGCGATGTTCAACACGCCACGGCTTGACCTTTCCATCGATTTTGGCTTGATCCATATCATAACTGGCTGGCGTATGCTCATCCTGCTCAACGCGCCCTGAGATCGAGGATGGGAGTACCTTAGTTCTCTGGGCTAAGCTATCTCCAAGTATCCCCATAATGACCCTCAGCTTCTTCTGGCTACCTGATCCTCTGGATGGGTGTATTGCATCAGGGATAACCATGCACTCGGACAAGTTTGGAGCAGCCAGCCTTCGACTTGTCCAAATTTCTTTGTTGTACAACCAAGTGAAATAAGTAGTCTCGGAGGTGGGACAGAACATGGGATCCATATCAATGTCTTGGCGTATCTCTCTATTCGGGTGTTCAAGTTGTCCAAAGCGGTACATGCATGATCCGGAACATGCTAAGTAGCCAGAATACTCAACACTGTGCCTCGAATCAGTGGTGTCGATACTGCCCTTTGGACCCCTCCATGCCAGCTTCTCGAGTCGGAACACTCAGGGCGTCCTGTTGGTTTCGGCTAGCTGATTGGGATCTTCGCTGTCTCCCCAATCACTTCATGCTGCTACTCTATACTGGCTATGTACTTTCCAGGTGCTTACCTGATATCGAAGAAACGCTTGTACCGAGGGTTCTTCGTTCCGTTGTGCATTCTGTTCACGATCCGAGACCGGGCAATCTAGTTAAAATCCATTTCTTCTCACACAAAGTTGTGAAATACACTTTGAAGCCCTCCTTTTCTCCGGTGATGGAACGTACAGCAATAGTGGTCGAGTATTGTTCCTCGGTGTCTCAAGCCGAGCATCAGTCGTGGCAACCATAAAATGTTGCGGAAATGTTTTCCTTGCTTAGCAATCGTATGTGGCCCTGAGTGAGATTGCCATCGAAGGCACTTGGTTAAGGGGAGTGGCTTGCGAGGGTTACTCACGAGCTCTGTAATGTTTCTCCGTGCCGGAGGGGGATGAGTTGGACTGTCAGCGCATCGGGTGAATTTTCTGACGATTCAGAGCTGGAAGGTACGTGGCCATTTTGATGCACCGGCCCTTTGTGTTGTCCTCAGGGTTATGTTCGGCAAGCGCCAGTACTAGCAAGGAGAAACCCTACTGCATATTAGGCAGGTGACCAGCCTCTCTTTAGGGGGAAGAAGAGCATATACCCTTGTCATACGACGGCTAATCGATCGTTGGAAAACGTTGTATTTATGAATAATATTATCAATACGTCAGTGATAAAACATCGGGAGGCAATTGGTTATATCCGACTTGAATATCCAACGTCAAGGATTTTGTGTTTTGAATATCGGCGCTTTCTGATCCTGGCGCCATGTGACTAGCTTTTAATTATTAAGGGACTTGTTTTGCAGTCACAAACTTGAGCAAACCATGGGCGGTTACTATGATGAGATCGAGATTGAGGATATGACGTGGGACGAAGAGGCGCGAGTTTTTCACTACCCATGTCCGTGCGGCGATCGCTTCGAGATTAGCAAAGCTCAGCTCAAAAACTACGAAGACATCGCCACATGTCCCAGCTGCAGCTTGATCATTCGAGTGATTTACGATCCGGTGAGTGCACTTATCTTCATCTCACGAGTTGAGTTGAATGGTCTGTCCCCATCAGTTCGATTTCGAAGACGAGGAATCGTCTGCGGATGACGAAGAGGGGGCCGAGGAATCCGCTGACAGCGAGGACGAGCCTAAGGAGCAGCATGAGACAGCTACGGAGATTGCTGCCCCTGATAGCGCCAAAATTATAGCCTCCGTTGAGGGGAATTTTGGTAATCTTCATCTAGAAGATAAGCCCCCTGTGGTGGGAGACGACGGGAGCGCACTTGTTGCAGGTAGAGTCATAAAAAATCGTCGAGCCTGATAATCCCTCTCTGAAAAATGAAGTAGGAACAAAGTATGGTGGCGGGACGACGACTTTCGGAAAAGCTGGCCTGCCAAGCACTGAAATGAAGACATGAACACCGAGACTCCTTTATTTTATGGGCTCCAGCACACATTACGAATGTGCGGCACCGTATGGAATTATAATGATGATATGACATCGACCTCGATCGTTCTGTCCATTACAATCCTGCATTGCCTGACCCCCTCATGCCCTTCGTTGAAGTGACACCTTTGCTTCCCCTCATATACCCAATGAGATGGAGCAGTGAAGTCGGTGTCATGCCCTCCATGCGCTTCGCGGCACCCTGTATGGGTACATGGACATTCATCAATACATTGGCAGCCATAGATCTGACTCAACTTACAATACTTGTCGGCCTCAGTCTTGTGAGTCTCTCCCGGACTTCATAGCTAAGCCCCTGTACGTCGCCGTAATTAATGTCGGACGGGAGAGTCATTTCCTCATCTTGCATGAAGACTTTAACGTCATGCGCTTGACGCTTGAGATAAAATCGGTATCGACCTATGGACAAAAGTCCCATTCTTAACTCCCTTGGGAGGTGATAGGTTTAATTCCAACCTTCAATATCCATTCGATCAAGGATTCGCGGATGATATTGAGCCAGCTCCGGTATGATTGGAACGAAATCTCGCGTAGAGATAGTCGGGAAACCCAAGAGGTCGTAAGCACTGTGCAGAGTGAGCCCTTCGTAAGCTGGAAGGACCAAAATAAAAAGTACCTTCGCTGAATCCCATCGGCGGCAACCCTGAAACCTGCGGCATTCCATCCCTTGAGATAAGGTTATCAGTGAAGCGTTCCTATTCTTTTCTTTTCAGACCTGCGAACTTGGGGGCTCAATGTGTGCTGTTCTAACGAAGTTTTGATCCGCTTCAGGTCATCCATTGATTGGACGTACTTCGTCCATCTTCTATCAGAGACAATTCCGATGGTTCGACCTACACTTGCTTTGTGTTCAGCAATGAAACTGAACGATGGAAAGCCAAATAAACCTTTATCGGTGAGTCTCATGTCTGCATTATCTGCTCTGATAGTCATGCGATATTCGCTCCTACTGGTAAACATGCGATACGGTTCTGCGGCGCCCCTCGAGATCAGGTCATCGACCATCACTCCCAAAAAGCCATCCGCTCGCGTTAGTACAAACTGCTTCTTTGGCGATCGATAAAGCGCAGAAAGTCCCGCGTTGGCACCCGCAAGAATGCCTTGGGCGGCGGCCTCTTCGTATCCAGTAGTGCCTGAAAAAAGGATTCACTGCAATCAAGACAATACACGTACGAGCCTTGGCATACCATTTATTTGACCAGCGAGAAACAATCCGGGTATACGTTTCGTCTCAAGAGTTGCTGCACGGTGAAGGTGAACAGAGACCCAAAAATGAGGCCAAGGATCTGACCTTTGAGCTCTCGAGCATCGATACAGTCATATTCGACACCGTAACCTGGTCGAATCATATTGACATTTTCAAGTCCCGGAATGGTACGTAGCATTTGTTCTTGCTTATCCGCTGGGAGAGTACAGGATATACCGTTCGGGTATATCACATCTACGATCCCCACTTCGAATTATGAGAGATCAATAAGTCATGAAATCCAAGGCGCACCTGAGTGGTAGCCTTCTGGTTCCAACCATACTGTATGCCCGTCTTTTTCGGTGAACCTGATGACTTTGGACTCTATCGATGGGCAGTATCTCGGGCCTAAACATAAAGCTAATCAGAATTTACATGCAAAAGGCAAAAATGATACCTTTAACGGTCTCTCTGATATGGATGCTAAGATGTAGGTTATCTCGAATTATCCTGTGGGTTTCAGGAGTAGTCCGTGTTCGATAGCAAGATACTTGATTATGCTGCGAATTAAAATTATCTCTCAGCAAAGCGACTCCTAGAACACAAAAATATATTAAACCTCGTTAGCGGCACGATCAGTAAGATACGAGAACGGTATAACGTCCGAATCGCCCTTTTGTTCTATTATTTGTGGATGATTCCAATCTATGCTGTTTTTCTCCAAGCGAGGGGGTGTCCCTGTCTTCAGTCTTCCAAGCTGAAATCCAGCCTTTCTCAAAGAAGCGGATAGGCCTTCTGGTGGAGACGCCGGGTCATTGATGCGCCCAGATGGGTAGGCTACAAGGCCAATATGAATCTCGCCGGAAAGGAAGGTACCTGTGGACAAGACCACCGACGAGCACTTAATTTCCTCGCCGGTGTCTACACCATCGCAGAAATCAGTGTGAAGCTCCGCACTTCGACCAAGGTCGCAAATCTCACCAAGACGGACACCGGCAACTTGGGCCCAAACCGGTGGTTTGAAGGGATTGGGATTGTCTAGGGCGGCATTCCCTGTGTCATGGGGAATAGATGGTTGATCCCAGAGTAAGTCGTGCACGCTGGCTGCCCGGATATCGAGGTTCGGATAATTAAACAATATTTCTTGCATGTGCTTCTTGTATAACTTCCTATCGATTTGGGCGCGAAGACCCTAATGTAGAAAATGGGTGGTTATGTACGTAGAGACAGAAAGCACACATTTCCTCTCACCCATACTGCAGGACCTTTGGACCTATTTAATATGTGGAACATTATCCCCGCTTTGTCTGTTAAGCTGACGTCAGGCAAAAGCCACCCTTAATGAAGTAATTGATCAGATACCAGCAACCCGACCGCACACGCCGTCTAGTGCGTCTACTTCCCGAACCAATGTGCCCTTTCCCACTCCTCCAAACGAAGGATTACAGCTCATTTCGCCAATAGTATCGAGTTTCTGGGTAAGGAGAAGCGTTCGAGCCCCGGTTCTAGCTGAAGCTGCAGCAGCCTCACATCCCGCATGTCCACCGCCAATGACGCATACTGTGGGAAATCATCAGCAAAGCAAGGGTAATTATCCAGGCGACCGACGTGATGACGGACCACGATACTTTTCTGACGAAGATTCTACTTCACCCACGTTCGGTCCAGGGTAGATTGAATGGATTGCAAAGCCGCGCTTCATTACAATTCGAGATGCACCCGTGCCTTTGCCTAACCATGATGGACGCCGAGCATGTCGCCCAGGGGATAACATGCCAGTTCTTCACTCTTGAGCGGTTATGACAAAACCATACGCACAAAGGACTCCCCGATGTCTCTGATATGGGGAAGACCCAAACCCAAGCTAGTGTAAAAGCTTGCAGTTGGTAGGCAGGATCACAGCCCCTACTAAAGTAGATGCAGCTAGTCGGGCAGCTTTTTTGGCACGAGCGTGGGAACTTCTTGTCAGAAATTAACGGGTCACGAGTTCCGCCTTGTTGCAAACGGTGACGGTCGGATTCGTTTGGAGACTTCAGAGCCTCTCAGATTATACAATGGTGATGGTTTAGTTACTGCATGTTATGCATCAAGCTTCGCTTTGAGTGACAGCAGGATGCTGTAGAGAAATATCAATCCAACTATTTCAGCAAAAGGGGTAGGAACAGTAGGCAGGATCCCAGTATATAGGAACAGGGGAGACGGGGCAACGATGGTCACAGCTGCATGAAGCGCAAAGAGATGACAACGTAAAACAGGGTGAGAGGGGGAGTGAACAAGCAATATGCCCAGAGGACCGTTCGATTGAAAAGTCTTTCAAACGTGTCCCCGGACAAGGTTTGTATAATCTGAGCCAGCGCCAAAGCAGGTGGTGATGTTATCAACAGGACAATTGATACGGCAAATACGGGACTGCAGAGAAGGAATGACATAAGCAATTCATGATATTTGGCTGCAGGGATGACTCACTCTTTGAATAAATCAAGCACCTCATACGCCGCCAGCGCAGCCATCGGTGGCAGGATGATCAAAGGTGTTACAACCATCCGAGCCAAGCATGAGACAATTACAGTGGTCGTCTCCCCCGGAGTGGTTCTGTTTTCTGATCTCTTCTTGCGCGAATTTGAGAAATGTGCCCAAAAATCAAAAGTACAGGTCTTGAATATTCTTTTCGCAGATGCGACAAAGGTGCTGTGAACGAGGTCCGGTCGTTGCTCCGGGACCCTATGGATCAATCCTGTCAATTCGGAAGGTTGCTCTAGGTCTGGCGGGGAGCAATCTTCCGCTTCTGTGTCGCTTTCCTGAGCTCGGGGCTCATTAGGGAGGACTGGGGATAGTACAGACTCGTCGTAAAAACACGCCCCCAACGTTAACATGGTGATAGGGATCGAACACGCGCCAGCACTTTCTAGGAAGCCCCTCACGGGTGGAACGTCTTCCATCAAAAAATGCTGCACGGGGGGGATGAGTACAACAAGAAATGCAGCAAGTGAAGCATACAAAGGGAACGTTGCAAACTCGTGAACTTTCTTCAGGAATGTTAATAATCCTCTCTGTGTTCGGCGGGCACGAGAATGCCATATGCTTGACGATGGCGACGTGATAGTTTGGAATGAGAGTTGAGGGTGATCGCTTCCCCACCCATCCTCTGATTCACGGTGCGGTCTAGGTGGATCCTGGCTCCGAGAGGCGACCGCCGCTGGGCCATCGACTTGGGCTGGTTGGGTTGGGGGAAGTGCGACTTCCAGCAAATCAGGTGGAACCATCGAGGATCCTTCGGGGCGTGTACCAATGTTTTGCCCGAGAGCACTTTGGGTGAGTTCATCTTCCTCTTGGGTTAGCAAATGAACTCCGTACGACCAACGAGCCTAATATCCAGTCAAGAGGTTGGCTATGGCAGGAGAATTAGGAAGGCCGGTGCATACCATCGTACCGAGATTTGCGTAAAGAATCATATACCCTAATCCTCTCCCAAGCATCGAATTAATGTTGTCATCCGGGCCCCAGCTGAGACCTTTGATGTTGAACACCATACTCTGTATGAGCGCAATCGGCAATGAATTGGTATTGCTGAACATCGAGGCCGCCATACAAAAGTTGCGCTGAGATCTCTTCAGGCGCAACATAGTGCTTATGATCGACGCGACCACCCCGGATATGACAATCGCCACTACGAAAATAATGGGGATAATCCACAGTTCCTTGAGCTTTTGCGGCGTGAGCGAGAAGGCCACTTTGGAAAATAGCAGACAGGGGGTGAAGAGCCAGATATTGATTACGTTCATTTTCTTCTGGGTAAGTTTGTCGAGAACCCCTTTGCGGGCCAATGCCCTGTCCAAGCCGACAATTGTGTTTTAGTTTTGGGTTAAGATTAGCGAGCACGCACCAACCGCTGAAACACATAATGAATACTTCCAAAATGGACTAACACCACCGTCTATGCTTAATGCGCATACGAGCTGACAGACCGCCGCTTCACTCACCTCAAAAACCGTGAGTAACAGTAACCCATACGCACTATCGGGCTTCATGATGCCTGTGAAGATGACTGTTTTTCGTAATTTCCAACATCTTGGTGGATCATCGGGATGGCCCGAGCCTGGTAACCGCCCAACATTTGCAGGATTGACAAATTAAGTTCCTCACCCAGATAATACTGAAATAATGGTGGCCACCAAACGAGCACCTTTCATTTCTACTGGATAAGCCCAAGGCTGAAAGGAGAGACAGCGATCAGATCAATAATGGCATAATCAAGGTGCAGAAAAGTTCATGGAAATGGTAAGTCCACGAAGAAAAGCATTATGTTACGTAATCTCCGGTTTGGGACCTCGATGACTGGGCTGGATGACAGGGTAGCACTGCCACATCATCGTGAGGTCGAGCGAAATACTGAAATTCCTGTCCGATGGTATTGACCCAGACTCCTACCCAGTCGGTCTGTTCCGAATTTCCGAAGTTTAACCGCAACTTCAAGACAACTGGCATGTTAGAAGTTACGGCCCGACGCCACTGGCGGTCCCCGGACCGTATATTCACGCTTTGAGAGCTTTGGGAAGGAGGCGCTTTTGGGGCGATCGACGGTGAACACAATGTTGCTTTCGGCCTTTGTTTTCACGCTTTGACTACTGCTCATGTTTCACTTCAGTGGCGTAGAACTCACCCTAGATGTATATAAGGACAGGATGTCTCGTGCTGCTCAGATTAACATGGCAACCCGCTTCGGCGGTTCACTCGCAGTCCAGAAATGAAGAGAGAAAAATAACTAAAACAGGTGGCAGGTGCCTGGTAACCTGCAAAATATTCCGGTTCGGTCCATACATACATGTGACTCGCATTTCAACATCTTTGTTGAGAACAGTTAAGATCGTGCTTGTATGACATAGTCGCTATTTCAGAGAGAATCGAAGCAGGTGAGGAGAACCTGATGATTTCCAGAGCCTTTTGTGCATGCTGGAACACATGGCGAAGCTTAGGACACAGTCTGATCATGGCCATGCAGTGTGAAGGGTAGGATCAACCGTTGTAGTCGGGAATCAGACAGAATTTTTAGAAAACGCTGTAACAAAACAAACCTCGTCCTTCCAAGGCTCCGATATCGCCATAGCCACTCGGTTGTCGTGAATAAATGTTGATATTTCAGTAGCACAGAGAGTCTCTCAGATCATACAATGGTATAGTCACTGTATCAAGCCTCGCTCTGAATGACGGCTGCAGGGTATCATTCTAATCATCTCAGCGGTACAGGGAGAAGGGGTAACGATGGTCACAGCTGCATGAATCGCAAAGAAATGACAACGTAAAACAGGGTGAGAGGGGGAGTAAACAAGCAGTATGCCCAGAAGATCGTTCGATTGAAAAGTCTTTCAAACGTGTCCCCGGACAAGGTTTGTATAATCTGGGCTAGCGCCAAAGCAGGCGGTGATGCTATCAACAGGACAATTGATACGATAAATACGGGGCTGCAGAGAAGGAACAAAATAAGCAATTCATGATATTTGGCTGCAGGGATGACTCACTCTTTGAATAAATCAAGCACCTCATACGCCGCCAGCACAGCCATCGGTGGCAAGATGATCAAAGGCGTCACAACCATCCGAGCCAAGCACGAGACAATTACAGTGGTCGTCTCCCCCGGGGTGGTTTTGTTTTCTAATCTCTTCTTGCGCGAATTCGAGAAAGATGCCCAAAAATCAGAAGTACAAGTCTTGAATGTTTTTTTCACAGATTCAGTGCGGGTGCTGGGGACGAGGTCCGGTCGTTGCTCCCTATGCACTAATCCTGACAATTCGGAACGTTGCTCTGGGTCTGGCGGGAAGCAGTCTTCCGCTTCCGTGTTGCTCTCCTGGGTTCGGGGCTCATTAGGGGGGACTGGGGATAGTACAGAGTCGTCATAAAAACACGCCCCCAGCACTAACATGGTGATAGGGATCGAACATGCGCCAGCACTTTCTAGGAAGCCCCTCACGGGTGGAACGTCTTCCATCAAAAAATGCTGCACGGGGGGGATGAGCACAACAAGAAATGCAGCGAGTGAAGCATACAAAGGGAACGTTGCAAACTCGTGAACTTTCTTCAGGAATATTAATAATCCCCTCTGTGTTCGGCGGGCACGAGAATGCCATATGCTTGACGATGGCGACGTGATAGTTTGGAATGACAGATGGGGATGATTGTTTCCCCATCCATCCCCCGACTCGCGCTGCCGTCTAGGCGAATCCTGGTCTCGGGAGGCGACCGCCGCTGGCTTTTGGACTAGGGCTCGGTGGGTTGGAGATAGGGGTCGAAGTTCGACTTCCAGCAAACCAGGTACCACCATCAAGGATCCTTCGGGGCGTGCACCAATGTTTCGCTCGAGTGCACTTTGGGTAAGTTCATCGTCCTCTTGGGTTAGCAAATGAACTCCGTACGACCAACGAGCCTGTCATAATATCCAGTCAAGAGGTTGGCTATGGCAGGAGAATTAGGAAGGCCGGTGCATACTATCGTACTGAAATTCGCGTAAAGAATCATATACCCTAATCCTCTCCCGAGCATCGAATCAATGTTGTCATCCGGGCCCCAGCTAAGACCTTTGATGTTGAACACCATACTCTGTATGAGCGCAATCGGCAATGAGTTGGTATTGCTGAACATCGAGGCCGCCATACAAAAGTTGCGCTGAGATCTCTTCAGGCGCAGCATAGTGCTTATGATCGATGCGACCATCCCAGATATGGCAGTTGTCATTACGAAAATTATGGGGATGGTCCACAGTTCCTTGAGCTTTTGCGGCGTGAGCGAGAAGGCCACTTTGGAAAATAGCAGACAGGGGGTGAAGAGCCAGATATTGATTACGTTCATTTTCTTCTGGGTAAGTTTGTCGAGAACCCCTTTGCGGGCCAATGCCCTGTCCAAGCCAACAACTGCGTTTCAGTTTTGGGTTAAGATTGAGCAGCGAGCACACACCAGCCACTGAAACACATAATGAATACTTCCAAAATGGACTGACGCCATCGTCTACGTTTAATGCGCATACGAGCAGACAGACCACCACTTCGCGCACCTCAAGAACGGTGAGCAACAGTAACCCATACGCATTATCAGACTTCATGGGTCTTTACCGGTGAGGAAAGCCTGCGAAGATGGCTGTTTTTCGCAAACTCCAACATCTTGGAGCCTCTCATCGGGATGGCCCGAGCCAAAATTTGACAAATTAATTTGCAATGCGTTCCTGATTGGGGTCACCTAGATGATATAAGGGTGGCCGCCAAACGGTCACCTTACACGTTCTGCTGAAGAAGTCCGAGGCTGAAAAGAGAGGGAGAGACAGGGATCAAATCAATATGGCATAATCAAGGTGCAGAAAAACTAGTCCACGAGGAAAAGGTGGGCGGGGAACAGGGAACGGGAGCACCCAACCAGGAACCCTGCTAGGCAGGTGACCAGCCTCTCTTTACTTAACGGGAAGGAACCCCACGTAGGGAGTGACGTAGACACTCCACGGTACCACGCATACTCAGGCACGACTAAAAACCAGACATCACAACCCAGAGGACCTTGTCACCCCGATCACGCCAACCAGACAGCCTTACCTTGCACATATTGCAGATGTAATAAGTCAGGCTAGCCGTACTGCCACGTACAAACGCGGCCGCGGGGTAACAATACAGAGTACAACAACCGGGGACCACATTCTGGAGATTATACCAGTAAAACAGGAGTGAAGCCAAAGAAAGCGTGACTTGTATCACAAAAGAGGAAAGAGCATCACGTACAAATTATAACGTGGAAAAACAAAATAAAAATAAGCACACGTAATTTCTTTTTACTAATAATGATGCTACGTTCCGAAGTTGCACCAGATAAACAGCACTCCAAGTCAGAAAGAGCATCCGCTTCACAATTCTTAACCAATGTCCTCTCATGCAAGCGCTGCCAAGCCGCTTACAGGAGTGCGCATGGATGATGAGAGGACACCGCTCCTTTCTGGCTCGAATGAGCAGTCAGCGCTCCTGGGATCAACTTCCGCCACGAAGGACAATCAAGCAACGGGCGCTGATGGACCTGCTGGGGACAGGGCTAGAGATGAGGAGGGAGTCGTCGCTTCCATCCGAGGACTTGCAGCAGAACAGAAGGCGTCTCGGGCGTCCATCGCCTGGAAAATTGTTCTTACCTTGTCATGCGGGGTCCTACTAGGCATCATCATAAGTGCTGGTGTCAGTTCTCGGCCTGGAGTTAGTCGGTATCACAGGCTCATTGGCGACATATCGAGGCTGACCTGTGGATTCACAGTTTAATTTTGGAAAAGCCCTAAAGAAAGCCCTCGGAGGTGGTCTTAGTGGAGCTCTCGGTGAGCTATCCCTATGATCCCGATGGAACCAAACAATTAACACAGGCTATAGCCATGGTGCTGCAGGTGTTTATCTTCATGCCGTTGCGTACCATAATGAACTATCAGGTGAGCCTGGGATTATGCACACTCCTGCAAAACCCTAACATCATCGTAGTATCGGTTCGGAAAGCCCTTCTGGGTCGCGGCGACAACTCTCTTCGCTGAAGGAGGATATGGCCGTTATTATCAGGGGATAAGTGCAGCGATCATTCAAGGTATGTATAGAGCCCTGGTCAGGAATACCCGCCACCGAAGTTGACCGCGCTGGTTCAAGCCCCTGTATCCCGGTTTGGGGACACTGCGTCGAATACCTTCATTTTCGCAGTTCTCAAATCAAGTCCAACCCTAGACGCACTCCCATCCCCCATTAAGAGCTTCTTAGCTGCTATTTTTACTGCCATGTTCCGCATAATACTCACACCCATCGACACTGCCAAGACAACTTTACAGGTACAAGGTGGGAATGGCTGGAAGGTACTGAAAGTCCGAGTGCGAATGTACGGGATCGGTAGTTTATGGTATGGCGCTGTTGCGACTGCCGCCGCCACTGTTGTTGGATACTTCCCTTGGTTCGGCGTCGTAAGATTTCTCCCGCTCATCCCAATCTTGGGTATTTACATTGATTTCCCAGTACAATCTCTTGGACGTCAATCTTCCGCGGCATCATAATTTTCACCAACTCCTCATCCGACAAACTGCAATTGGGTCCTGTGCCTCTCTTGCCTCAGATACTGTTTCGAACTCTCTGCGGGTGGTCAAGACATACCGACAAGTAAATGAGACCCAAGTGTCATACTGTAAGCATCTCCGTACTTAGTGCCCCTATTCTGAAATTCCGTGTAGCCGAAGCCGCCAAAGCCGTCATCGCGATCGACGGGTTGCGAGGGCTTTTCTTCCGTGGTCTCGGGACAAGATTGTTAGCAAACGGGTGTCAAAGTATCACGTTCAGTATTTTGTGGAAACTGTTTATGGATCTGTAGGTTGCCGTGAATTTGTTTGGCTGTCGTACCTCATCTGATCTCACAGGTGGAATAAAAATTCGCAAAGGCCCCTGGTAGAACTATAAAACAACTGGAATCCGACTTAATTCAGTGATTCGATTCAAAATGCATTCCAATGCCCAAACGTTGCGTGCTTTGATATAGATGGATTTCTTCATCTAAACGGATAGACGCTGAGCATTAGGCTCGTCAATTTTCACGAGGTTGCCCAGTATATATAAATCATTTCTGAGTGACAGGGTTGTTTTCAGCTTCGATCTGTGGCTCAAAGACTAGGGCCCATGGTGTGCTTGCAGGTGGTAGGATAGCTTCATCAGGAATCAAATTATCATGCCTTTATTAAGAGGTCCATAACTAAGGAAGAGTATTCGAGGCGATCTGAGAGCGGCGGAACCTAATTGGGCAGCAGTAATCGTATCTCTGAGCTTCCGAGAAAGCCACCGAAGCAAAGGTCGGATCGAAGAGTCACCGGCTGCACCGCGTGCACCCCGCCCTTCTATTCCAGAGTTGCATGGCAACAATAGACGTTTTGGAGCCATTATCCGATCTCCGAGTCCCAAGCGTCCCCCTCGTTTGTGACTGGCTCACCACAACTTTATGGCTCAAAACACCTGATCACCGTGGTTGGGATATGCTTAGGAGTCCATGGAATAGCTTAGTAAAGTGCGTGCGACAGTGCGTGGGATCCCGCTGATGATTCTCAGCCAACTTCGTGCCATTAGGAGATGGCTGGTAGGTATCAATGAATCTACAGGGGATGGGAATGGTACAACGCATCTATAAGCTAGTCCCCAGGCAGGTTACCGGCCTCCGTGGGTCCCGATAGGTCGTACGCTTGGGCAGATTACTAGTCCCTGTATGATAAAGACTGTAGTACCTAAGCGCAACCTTTGGACGTCTAACGTATCTAATATAGAGACCGGAGTCCTGCCTACGTATACAGAATGTTCACGTAGAGATGAAGAGGAAGTGACTTCTTTAGTTATCGAGGCTTTGAATGAATTGGTGATACAACGGTGGGGTGCGTTTGGGCACGTATTTAATCACGTAGCATTATGTGGGCGGGTAAACTTATGTAAGCTACGGAAACCTGACATGTGGCTGTGCCTCCACGTAGACTCTGCGCTGCCGCAATCAACATGTCCTTCCTTGACGCAATCCTCAGTCCTCTCCGTTGCATCCAAGACTATGCCAAAGTAATAGCTGACGCAGATGTCGACTGGAAGAATCTTGTCGTGCTTTTTTCATTGGGCGTCTACGTCTTGGAGACCTATCTTCTGTGAGTTTTATGGTCGAATTTATTAGAGTGGCGGCGGTACGAAGGTCATGGCACTTCTAAAGGAGCAGACAATATCCCTATTACTCAAGGGAGGCTCCTCCCCCTGCTCTATCCCAGCATTTTCCAGGGGAGACGTTCCAGAAGTCGCAGAACTATGGCCGAGACAAGGCGCGGTTTGCGTTTGTCTACAGCGCGTTTGGTGAAATCCTGGGGATAGGACTGATATATGCCGGCGCCCAAGTCTGGGCTTGGAAAATCGCTGGGGAGTGGTTGACAAAGTGGGGCTACGTTGGATACGAGGTACGTTGCAATGCTACAGCGCATGCCAAGTTGGTGAATCCCTTTCAATCTAGATACCTCAGTCAATCCTTTTCATGGGTATACTTCTCCTTGCTTCGGCCATACCTTTCTTGCCACTGTCGTATTATCAGACATTCGTTCTTGAAGAAAAGCACGGATTCAACAAAATGAATGTCAGACTGTTCATCACCGACACCCTCAAGGGTTGGGCCCTCACATTTTTCATCGGGAGTCCCTTTTTAGCCGGTTTTCTGTGGATAATTCGTTGGGCCGGAGACGGATTCATTCCCTGGCTGATGTCATTCTTGTATGTCTTTCGTCTCCGTATACGCACCGTTGTCTTACAGTCGTGCGATCTAGAATTGCCTTCCAGCTTGTTATGGTGGTCCTTTATCCTACTGTGATCCAGCCTTTGTTCAACAAGCTTTCGCCCTTGCCACAAGGTCCTCTTCGGACTCGCATCGAAGCGCTGGCGTCCCGGCTTAAATTCCCCCTAACGGATCTTTATGTCATCGATGGTTCAAAGCGAAGTGCTCACTCTAATGCCTACTTTTATGGTCTTCCATGGAGCAAGCATATAGTAATCTACGATACGCTGATCAAACAAAGTGCCCCAGAAGAGATCGAGGCAGTGTTAGGTATGGTTGAATAACTACGACTTTACCCAGCGTTAAACATTCTGTTTGGACAGCGCATGAACTTGGCCACTGGTGGTACTCGCATCCCCTCAAACTGATGATCATCTCAGAAGTCCACCTTCTTCTCCTCTTTTCTGCCTTCCCAGCTTTCCTCCAATCCGCGTCGTTGTTAACATCTTTCGGATTCCCAACCTCCGTTGCTCGTCACCCCCCAATCATTATATCATTCATGCTTTTCCAAAATCTTTTTACCCCAGTCGAAGCGCTGTTGACCATGGCAATGAATGCCGTTAGCAGATATTTCGAGTGGCAAGCCGACAAGTTCGCTTTTGAACAGGACGTTTCAGATAATGATGAGAAGGCTGCGACAGAGGGTAAAGACGGTTCTACGGATGGTGTTGCCGCTGATGACATGGGCGAGAGGCTCGCCAAAGCACTTATTGGACTGCACAAGGAGAACCTATCGTCAGTTTGGGTTGACTGGCTGTAAGTATCGGCCTTGTCGACCAGTTGCCGTAATCTTTTAATCTTGTCTTCTAGTTACTCCGCATATCACCACTCGCATCCCACGCTTCCAGAAAGGTTAAGGGTGATGGACGATCTTCGAAGTCAGAAGAATCTTCGTGAGGGAGCTTCGGCCAAGAAGGAGCTGTAAACTACAGGACAAAACCAGTATTAATGCTAGTTAATAGTACTATGTAGGCGATGTTCAATATGAGTTTCCGCACTCATTTTCACACGTCTCGGTATCAGCCGAAAGAATCCAGCCGTGTTTTTGTATTTTGGGCCTGCGCTTTCCCGGCAGCTTCGCATCTCTGCGAGGACGCGTATAAGATGCCGGCGGCCCAGTCCTCGTCCTCTGGCGACTCTCTAGTATCGCATGCTCAATCCTTTGTATCTGAGAACAAGAAGGCTGTCGCAGTTGGCGTGACAGTTGCCGTCATAGCGGCAGGAGCAACAGGATACTACCTCTACACAACTAAACCGAGAACAAGAGGGGACTCCTCTGCGGAAAAGGGGAAGAGTGACACTGATTCAGGGAAGGGTGGTGTAGGGGGTGAGAAAAAGAAGAGAAAGCATAAGAGCAAGGTTGGCGAGAAAGATGGACCAATTCTGGAGGAACGGACGCCTAAACCCCCGGCTCCCGAAGAAAACAAAGTGACCGAAGCAAAAGAGGGTGAGCGTTTATGCCCATTACAAGAATTCTCTCCCCTGTTGTTGATGTATGGGCTACAGAGGATGTACCAAAATTCACCCAAGCCGAGATTGAAGCGCTATCGAAAGAGGTCAGATGGAAATCGTGGTCAACTGAATGGACCAGGGCTTATTTTGCCTTTAGGATCGTCTTTCAACGGCAAACTCTCTAAAAACCAAGGGGAATACTGCTTACTCCGCAAGGAATTTCGTCCGCGCTGTCGAGTATTACACCCAAGCAATTGAGATTTCGCCTTCCCCGGAAGCAGTTTACTTCAGTAATCGTGCAGCATGTGTGCATTTTTTCCCCTTTTGTTTTGTTGTGGGTGATTAGGCCGTGATGTTAATTAACCCATTTTCTTTTAGGTTACGTCAATTTTTCGCCACCCCAATATGAGCTAGTAGTTCAGGATTGTGATGAGGCCCTCAAGCGCGATGCGAAGTACATAAAAGCTCTCAACCGCAGGGCAACTGCCCTGGAAGCTTTGGGACGGCTCCACGAATCACTACGAGGTGGGCCATTCATCATTGCGGGTTGAATGCGAACGGTTTGTGTAATCATTTACTCCACCATCAGATTTTACGGCGGCAACGATATTTGATAAATTCCAAAATGACGCTACCAGCGCATCGCTTGAACGCGTTTTAAAAAAAGTTGCACAGAGAGAAGCCCAAGAAACCATGGCCGTTCGTGTTATCCGAGCGATCTCCGTATTTGCCACGCCAACAGACTTATTTTAGAAACGTGAGCCACGACTACCTTCCTTTGCTTTCATTCATGCCTACCTTGCCGCATTCCGTCCGCGTAAGTCATGTTATCTCGACACCTCACCGAAGGATGAACGTTGCTTCCCGCAGGACCGTTACCGGAGCTACCTGCGGCCCGCACACAAGGAGACCAGACACTCGTTCACGCCCATCAAGCATTAGAAGCACAGGACTATGCCCATGCCTTTACACTTGCCAATGAGTCGATCGAGCAAGGGATATCAGAGTCTTGGGACGTTGGCAAAGCTCAAGCTTTTACTCTGCGTGGGACCTTCAAGTCAGTCGAAAGAATCCTTTATTTTTCTTTGCACTTAATTGACCAAGGGTTCAGATTCTTGATTGGAAAATCCCAGGATGCCAAGGCTGATTTCGAGGCTGCACTAGCGCTTGTGCCGACTTTTATCCCTGCTTGGGTGAAGATTGCCAGCGTTCACATGGAACTTGGTGACACCGACGCTACTTTCCGTGCCTTTGAGGAAGCTATTAAACACGCGCCAAATGATGCGGACACTTACTATCACCGTGGACAGGGTGAGTTATTATGCTACATTCCTCCCCGATATCAAATAACCCGGCTTATACCAACAGTGAACTTCATCATGCAGCAGTTCAAAGAAGCTGAGGGGGATTACATTAAATCTTCGCAACTAGACCCCAACTTCGTTTTCAGTCATATCCAGTTGGCCGTCGCTCAATATAAAACCGATCAAGTTGGAGCAGCCATGGCAACCTTTAGGAAAACAATGAAAATGTTTCCTCATAAGAGCGAACCCCTTAACTACTAGTAAGGCACCTGTAGATGCTCAGCTCACGGCGTCAAGCGCTGACGGTGTCCAAGTGGCGAACTATTGCTTGACCAGCAGCGGTTTACAGATGCTGTTGAAAAGTTCGACAGAGCTATCGAGATCGAACGAAAGAAGTGAGCTAATTGTCTAGCTTGACACCTTTGAAACACCATGCTTATATCCTCGATCGAAGAAAACCAATCAACGTTCTTCCAATGGTTAACAAAGCCCTCGCTCTTTTCCAGTGGAACAATGACATTCTCGCAGCGGAGGCGTTACTGAAAGAGGCACTTAAGATTGACCCGGAATGCGATTCTGCACTTGCCACTCTCGCGCAGCTTACTTTACAGCAAAGCAACCTGGAGGAAGCCATTGTACTTTTCGGCAGGCATGCGGAGTTGGCAAGAACAGAAGCCGAGCTCGAACAGGCATTGACCTTCAAATATGTGGGTATTGTCGTTACTTTACTTTACTCCCTCACTCAGTGATTTTAATCCAGGCTACACAAGCTCAGCTTCAGTTCATTAAAGATTTCCCTGACATGGCTTCACAGCTTAGCATGCTAGCCCGCTCTATGCAAGGTGTTGCTTGAGACATCTACTCTATTACAACCCGAATTCGCACACGGGCGAGTTCATTATTTGTGGCCCACTAGTTGCTTGATTAATTGGCATCTATCTCCCCCGTCACCTATCTATCCCGCTGTATCTATGTTCATCTTCATTCGCTACAACAATGCATCCCACTCCTAGGGCATTTGCCAATTCAGCCATCATTCTGATGTGCAGCACGTTAACAATGGTTGGTTCTCCTGCTGTAAGTTGGGTTCTACAGTTCATTGGTCGGTCCGCGTTTTCTTCGCTAGCAATGTCGATCCTATGTTACATCTTTTGCTTTATGGTGAATTCTGTTCGTTGATTGTTTGATTTGGAAGTTCTGCCAAGGAAGCCTGACGCACGGTCATCCACCTCCCATCGTCCTGTCCACCATGAGCGGACTTAGAAATCAATCCAACTGACTCAACTCGAGGCTCCCGTTGGGTTTTAATGCTATTCCGCTTGCCCGGTCACACATATGCAGAAGCCAAGCATATGCGTCAATGCAGGCGGATCTATTTGCCATGCATGGAAATCCCTCCGTTGCTCTGGGTTCGACCGCGGTCGCCTTGGTACCCTGCTAAGCTTTTTGTCAAGCTTTCTGTTCTGCCCTGGCTACTATTTTTTCCCTCATTCAAATAGCGAAGCAAATTATTGGCGCTAATTGAGCACGTCTGCGTAGAATGGGTTCAATTTAGTACTGCCAGCCAACCTCCAGCCCGGTGTCTGTCAATCTGGGGCTTAACTAGTTGGGGTCACAGTCGTAAACATAACTTTGAAGAGTCCATGAGCACCGCTCTTGTAGAGAATAGTGACGAGTATGTGAAACGAAGAATTGTACTCATGAATCAAATCACAACTGAACAAAGGTGTATTGCAGAAGAGTCACGAAGATGTAGGAGGGTACCGCATGAGGGCAAAATCCTTAGGGATCGTTGTAAGAGGTATACACACGTGAGTAACTAGGAAACCAAGAAATTTGAGGGCAGATTTATCAAATATGCATGACAACAGGTATCAATGGCGGCCAGAAGCAGTGGAGAACAAACAGGTTGGTCTGAAAGTGGTGACCGGCGAAAGCAAGATGAACAATGAATCAGCAGACGAGACCTTGAAGTATAGAATAGAAAATGGTTTATTTGCGGTGCAGGTGTGCGGGCTGCGCTGTGGATATCACATCATTTCACGGAAAATTTCATTCCATGGATCCGTACTCCGAATTGTTCCAGCACTGCCATCTTCTGTTGTACTTCCGATCACAGTGGGTGGGGCAGTAACATATGATGAGGGCGCCTCGCTGATGTCAGTATGAGCGACACTTTGCGAGACAGTCTGCTGGGACTCCGTGGTGGCACGTGAGACTGAAGGACGCACCGTCCGCCCGGTACGTCCGACATCAGGCACTTGGAGGTTTGATGAAGATGGTAGGGGCAGTTCCTGTGGTGGCGCACTAGTCCTAGGTACATCATCCCAATCTATGCTCACGGATGGTGGGATTCCAAAAGTATTATCATGCGCATCGGCTTGACGTGCGACTGAGCTTGCTCTGGAGCGTGAAGATGGAGAAGCTGAAGCGGCCCCTGCTTGTGATGACGGTGACGATGACGAACCCTTCCGGGATCGGCCCATGAGGGAGATAGCCCTTGAACGACTAGTCGAGGGCGACGAAGGGGGCCGGCTCCCTTCTTGGGCTGAGCCGAAAGAGGTACGACGGAGCGAAACTAGGCTCTGGGCACGAAGGCGAAGAGCTCCTAACGAAGACTTTGGGCTAGGAGCAGAGGACAGCAGCCCAACCGAGTCTTCTTTCTCAGCTTCCTCGATGGAACCTCGTGCCTCCGCATGATCTTCTTCCTCCAACTGATGGTCATTGTCGTCAGTACCTTGCACCGGCGGTAAGGGAATCGCAACGCCAAATGTTTGGTCCGTAACGCTGATTGTGCGGTTACGATGGCGAAGGGATTCCGAACTCCGGGGAGACGAAGGCAGGGATGGAGCCGTACCCGCTCGACGTCTACGATAATCCGATCCCGCTGATGGATGACGTGGAGGTGGTGGCATCATTGGACTCAGCGGACTGCCCGCTGACGATGAAGGTTCAGCAGAAGCAAGGACAGATTGGCCTTGGGACGACGCAGACAAGGCTCGAGACGATGACGAGCGAGGCAGGGGGGAACCTTGTGAATGGGTGGATGGTGAACGGGAACCGGACAAATAAGCTGGAGACAGTGGTTGACCGAGGCTCGACAGGGACTGAGATGCGCGTCCGTTCATTGGTTGCTGAGACTGGGATACTTCCCCTGTCAGATCTTCCTGCAGGTGAGTCGCCGAGACCGGAGACTCCACTAGCTGATCATCTATCTCATCGCTATCCCGCACCACGAAACCCTCCAAGCCATAGTCCTTTTCAGATCCAGAGGCCGATGAGTGGGTGCTTGGCATTGACCGCCTGGGAGAGGGGATTGGACGAGACTGAAGAGGGAACGGGGGAGCTGGTGGACTGGTGGCAGCGGTGGGCATAGGGAAAAATGGAAATGGGAGAGACAAGATAGGCCCACTTGATGATGGTCCCGTAGAACCGTAAGCAGGCTTGGAAGGGTCTACCATCGGCACAAGACTTTGTAGATTGGCAGCTGGCAGCGGCGGAACGAGTGATGAGGAGCCGAAGACTGTAGAGGAACCAGCGGGGGAAGTAAATATATCGCTATCAAGGACACTGCGTCTTGTCCCGGAGTGCTGACCGGGTGTGGCAGTCGGCTCATCTGCCTTTTGCTCGCCATCATCAGGCACATGTGCATGAGCTGACCCCAATGCAAGGGCGGTAGAAAGATCCACCGTTAACGGTGGCGAATCAGAAGTCCTTGAAGCGAACCTATTCTCTGCCATTGGTTGTTGCGAATGACGTTGGTCCTCGACTGATGATGTCCGGCGCTTGACACGATTTGTGAGGCAGAACTCGTACGCTTCTCGGATTCGAGTGATAGTGAATGGCAACCACGCCCAACGCTCGATGAGACGTTCATTACGCGTCCGTGACGCATAAAATCCCTTCTCATCATCCTCTTCTTCCCATCGGTACCGAGGACCACAAATCCCTGCGCATGCTTGCCCGCTCGTAATCCATAGCCCGACCCTGTCAATGGCAATGAGTGACGCAGTCTACCAATAGCTAATCAGAACCTACCAGCTGATGAGAAGTACCATCACTCTCCACAATGTCCATACAGCATTAGCAATAAGGGATCCCCTAGCATACGAAGTCAATAGGCCTTGCCCATTGAAGAACGTGGTATCTCTGCCAACCGGAAGCTCCCCATTATCCGCCACTGCACGGGCAGTTGGTCCCGAGAATGCAAACAGTGCTGCTAAACAGAGAGCTGCACGAGGGAGGAGAAGGACAACAGTTGGTAAATTCTGTGAGTACCAGTAGCACGTCTCCGCAATACCATCTCGCCAACTGCCATTCCGTTCTGGGATGAAAGCGCTGGCACGTATGTACTGAAGGAAACAGAAGGTCGAGTATGAAGTCATCGAGGCGAGGTTAAAGGCGGGAGCAGATAGATAAATGGATAAAATTAATGGTCGCTCTTTATTATGTTTGGATCAGAACAGAAATACAGACATGTAAACAAGGGATCAATGGGCTTACTTGTACGCCATTGGCGATAAAACGAATAAAGAAGCTCGTAACTAGGTAATTATCGTTTTAGTTGCAGCCCCACAGAAACAGCGAGGCTGCCCTCTGCAGCAAGGGAACTCACCCAATGAATATGATGAACAAATAAACAAAATAGCAGGCTATATAGGCTGCAAAAGCTAGTGCCCAGCCACGACCTGATGCAGGGACACCAAGTGCAGCAGGCGTGGGATGTTTGGCAGCTCTAAAAAAATGGGTCAATGTTTAGAAAACGCATGTAAACAAAGGCAAGGAAGTCACTAACTGAAGCAAGATGTATGCTGCGTTAAAATCCAAATAAGATTGAAGGGGAATATGCACAAAGACCATAACGGGAAAGAGGTAGAAGTATATGTGATTGAGCAAGGAAGGATTGCGCATTATTCCAAGATGAAGGCCGTTTGCTCTGAATCGAGGTCGATGCCCATCTGCCGCAACATCTGGGATAGAGGGGGTTGGAAACGTTGGTGCGGTGGTGTCGTTTGGGGCTGCCACTTTGGGTGTGTGTGCCAAGCTTGCTGAACGGTTGATAAGGCCAGAACCAACGCCTCGGCTTCTAGGCGCCGTCAGGATGCGCACCGATCTGGGGGTAGGGTCCCGGCCTTCGGAATGAGGCCGTCGGGTCCCTGAGCGTGCAGGGGTGGTGGGGGACTGCATGGTATGGTCAGGAGACACTGCTGACGAGCCCTCCGCACTGGAACGAACTTCCCGTTCGGCTGCTGGGGATCCAGCGCCAGTGTTAGTTGAAGATGCAGGCACAGGAGGATGGGGGCGCCTAGGCAGCCAGGACGGGTATTCTGACGACTCCAGGGAAAAGCGATCATCTGGTGCAATGATAGAAGATGACGGACGGGGTCCTTGAGAAGCAATGCGCTCGTTTTCGATAGCTGCTACTTCAGCAGGGTATAGATTCGTAGAGCCTCGTCGTGGGTTGCGTTCGTTGGACATGCGTGGCGTAAAGCAAATTTTCAGCGCTCACTCAGCGCGTTCCTTGGGTTCGTAAACAGCTCGTCAACGAGTAATAGCCAATTCGTTATTTATGGGATTTTTCTGGCACTGCTCTGGCTGATGCAGAGCGCGAGTATTTACTCGATTAGATGAAATACGCGCCGCCTCGTGTTTGGTGCACACTTGCCTCGTGTTCTGCTCGAGGAAGGAAAGGTGAACTAAAATGAACGCGGACTTTGAGTTTAAAATCCGCAAGAAAACCCGTGCACAGCCACACGTCACAGCTGTCTCAGAATGGTTCCCACGCCTGCTGAGTGGCCCAGCTTCTTTTGAGTCTACTGCGTGAACATTCACTCTCAGACTCCACTGGGAGGGGCTTGACGTGGCTCAGGGCTGCCTGTATCGGCTCACAACCCAAGTTATCTTGTCTCTGGTGGCTGGGGCTCCAAGAGATGTCCGCCCGAGATGCGGCGGTTTGGCTCCGCGGCAGTGGTAACACATCGATATTCTTACACGTCTCTTTTCACCCTTTCTCCACTACCTCTTTCACTCATGCACCTTTTTCCTGTGACACGGCTTTTGTCCATGCCTATCTTTCACGACAAAGTTCAGTGGCTAAGCGCTCTGGCACCACTGCCAACGACGCTTTCTTGGAGTGTCTGGTTCAACACTACACACTCGCAGGGAAGTTCACCCCTCTCCCCCTGGCTTAAACGCGCTGCGCGACGTATTCTGGAATAGTCTATGTACGATAAGGGAAAAGGATTAGGGATCACGGATGGGATACCAGCGGTTGAGAGCAGGTAAAGTGGGGGGGCCGTACATTGGGTCAGTTGATTGGCGCGTTGTACGCCTCGTCATACGCGGAGTTAAAAATGAATTCATCCAACCCTTGGACAACTCATCCGGAGACTGTTCGGAGCTGCCAAAAACGTCCTCTGAAGTAGGCCTGTATCCGACTCCAGAAACGAGCTCACGGCCGCACACACCCCCGAACGCAGCTTGGGAGACTTCTCCTGCATTAGTTTGCCCCGAAAACGGCCTCAGCGTGCGGATCCTAAACTACTGATCATGGCTCGCAACATGGAGTTTTCATGGGTCTCTGCAACATTTCTGCTAGAAACAAATCCCCAGAATCTACAGAGGCATTGGAATGGGTGCAATTTAGCCTTAAATCTGGAAGTCATCTACAACACGCTCATCTCCACTACAAAAAGCCTCAATCACTATGTCATTCACAAACACCGTTCCAGTCGTAGCAATCTCCAGAAAATTCATCACTCTGCAAAGGCTGCAGTCTTGCCCACCATCATAGAGAACGGAAAACTCAATTTCTCATACTGAAGTCAGCAGCCATGGCCTGCTTCCGTGACGAGAAGTGCACACTACATGTCTGGCAGAAAGGAGGCTAGAGATGAATACGGAGCGAATCGGCCGGCAAATGTACCACGAGCGAGTGGGCGCCTTTCCAGTTCCATAATTCCGGAAGATGAGGAGGTGATTTATCGCGGGATTGCGAAAGATAGCCATGGGTCAACAGGCAGGACTCCAGTCCCTGTGACTTCGTGACGATGTATAGAATGGGTCAAGACCATTGAACAGGACTTTAATCAAAACCTCGGTACCTCAGTCGGCCCTGAGGATGGGAAGGTGATGATGATAAATCTATCTTACAGCCTTTTCTAAAATTTTTGTCCGATCAAAAGTGAATGGGTATTGACCCCGTTCGTAAAAAAATCACCTGAAAATGGTCAAATTTCTCATATTTTTATGTTTCAATACAATAGAATTATATTTCCATCTAGTAGAATTAGCGCCCACAGCTATTCCCCATTCCTCGTTGAATAATGACCATAGCACTGACGGTCACAGCGATCTAGGCAGGTCGCCAGCCTCTATTGGAAACAGTGATCCTGCTCTCGATCCTGCTCACATCAGCCCAGCCGAGCTTCCATACACCATTACCATCTCATGGGTACCAAACACGCGTCTCCGGACATGAAGTGACACATCGTCCTCATGTCCTCAACCCTCACTACCAAGGAGGCTGCACAAATTGCCCATCTCGGTGACTGCAGAGTTGCCGCATTCTCTCAGCTCACCAGCAAGGGACCTCTTTGATAAAGTTGGCAACCGTGGGTGTAGTCGCGAACTTGACAACTAGGATCTGGATGTGAGTATGGTGTTTCTGTCTCCCACCGGCTCAGCCTGAAGCAACGAGGCTTCACATACATCAGCAAGCACTGTTGGAATGCTTGCTGGGGTGTTTTCAGGAGCGGGTGCGGGGCTAATGGTCATCATTCCAGTGGGCACGCTTGTCTTTGTTGAGAACATGATAGTTGACACACAGTCGCTGTTTCGGAGAGAATCAAAGCAGGTGAGGAAAACTTGATGATTTCCAGAACTTTTCGTGCACGGTAGCTTAGGACACGGTCTGATCATGGCCAGTGTGAAGGGTAGGATCAATCGTTGTGGTCGGGAATGGGTATGGCTGTGCGGCGCTAACTCTACTGTATTGAAAAATAAAAATTCGAGAAATTTGATCATTTTTGGGTGATTTTTTTTACGAACGGGGTCAATACCCATTCACTTTGATCGGACAGAAATTTTAGAAAAGGCTGTAATACCCCGCGGCCTCGTGATGACGTGGCAGTGCGGCTATCCCGACGTTACATGGCGTACATGAGGGGATCATTTCTAGTATTCTGGTTGGTATCATCGGGTGTCAATGGTCCTCGGGTTCTGTGTTGTCCGTGTGTATTGTCATGGTATTGATAATAGGGAATAAGAAATAATAATTATGGGTTCCTCTCTCTCTCCGTACGTCTGTCCCTGGCCGTCTGCTCCTCCCTTCTGTTGGTGCGCCGCTGCGCCTGCCTTGCGGGTCGGTTATCCGGGGGCGGTGTTCCCGGGGTGTTTCGGTTTCCACTGGTGCTTTGTTTGTCGCCTGTCTTGGATTTGTTGATGAATGACGCGAGTCTCTCCACGCCTTTCACCCCGCCCATGAGGGTGTTAAACTTAGTCTGGTTTCCGCGGCCTAGTATGCGTCGGTACCTTCTCGTCCGAGGGCATTCTGTTAAGATATGTGTCCTCGTCTGAGTTGGTTTGCCGCATTGGCACTCTTTGCTTTCTGTTGTGATTCTGAATCGGTGGTAGTATTCGCCAATGTGTGCGTGTCCCGTTCGGAACTGCAGGACTCGGCTGAAGGTCTTTCTGCCGAGTTTGCTGAGGCGATTCGTGAGTTTGAGCTTCGGTGCGAGTTGGTTGGCTGCGTAGAAGCCCGATTTCGGGGGGGGGAGGATGGGAAGGAAAGATATTCAGAAGGGAACTGAACGGGACGATGGGATGGTCATCCTGTGGTCCCGTAAATAATCGGGGCTAACTAGTCCCCGAATTGCATAAGACAGTGCCATCCAGCGCAGGGAACAAAAAGCGGCCATGATTCGAAGTGAAGGGAATAGGTTCTTGAGATCGATCTTGGCTTCCTATTGGCAGGAGATAGCGTCATGCAACCTGTGAGAGAACTAGCGTAACAAACTAGCGCTAGACAATGAAAGACATTGAGTAAAGGTCTAATAAGACCAGGAAACCTCACCTCAGTTCACGATAGTGCAACTGAGGAGAGAGAAAACAGTCGCGACGAGTGGCTTTTAAGCCTACAACGCCGCGTATCAACAAGAAAGATAAATTGGGAATAACGGACAATCCTCTGCGGCTGGTGAGTCCGTGCGCCATAATGGTGGGACGTCGACCTTGTCTCTAATACAACCTCCAAAGTGCGCGATACACATTGTGGAGATAGAACGTCCGTGTTCCTTCCCCAAAGGGCTCGAGTTCAGAACAGATGTGCGATTCGACGGAAAGCAGAGGGACATCTAAGTGGCATAAAAACTGAAGGTATCAAGTGCTTGTAAAAGCCTTACGAAGACGTCCAATCGACTAAGTCTGACGTTTCAGTCGTCAAATTACGCGGCAAACAACTTCCGGCTCCGATCACAAATGGTGGTGCTGCAAGCCCCCTCAACACCCCATACTAGTGTGCGAGCACCGCTTGCGCTGTGTCCGATCAGAGATCATGTGATGCAGGAATCGGGTCACAACCTGCTACGAAAAGGGGAAAGTTGTTCCTGTTTCCTCCAAAAATCATTTCCATATGGACCGCCAGGATGCTACTAAGGATTTCACTTTCGCCAAACTTTCAAGTCTTACCTTACCTGTTACCCTCCGCATGCAAGTGACTCATGTGTGTCAGCAAGATTGTTCTAATTTGTTGTTCAGAACCCAGCTGGAGGGGAAGCTGAAGAAACATGGTTTTGTTGAAGTGCTTGATCATCCCGAGCTGAGATTCACCGGGGTCCAATCTGAGTGAGCAGTAACATATCGACAAGGAAGCATCTTACTTACTTGTACCTACTTGTCAGAGCCCCTTCCGACATTTACGTTACATGCCAACTTATGGCGGACAATAAGCCTCTCACTATTCCTTTACGCACATCTCATAAGGTGTTCAAGGCCAACTTCGTGTGCGTTATGATGTGAAACTTTATTCCAGTCTGTTCCTCTAACATGCCCTGCAATATAGCTGGAACGAATGGATCAGCTTGCCAATACGCTACTGTGATCTTCCTCTCAGTTCTCAGTTGACATTCACGGTCTGGGATACTGCAGGGCCCCGAAGCGCTGCCCCGATAGGCGGAACAACATTTCGTTTGTTCGGAAAAAAATGGTGCGTTTCCCATCAATGCATTGGCTCAGTTGCATATCACACATTTTGACCAATAAGAATGCCGAAGGACGTTAAGACGCGGCAGCCATAGATTGCTCCTGTGGTCCGGTCAAGAAGCGGATGGATCCGTCGAAACTCGTACGCCAAGCAAAGTTGGACTGAAAGATGAAATGGGCCGTCTAGAGAAAGTAAATATTGAAGGATGGTTAATGAGTTGCTCGCCTAATTCCGTGCACAGCTAATGAAGAAGTTCGAACGAGATGATTTACCGAAATTGGATTGGTTGGATACCCTAGTTTTTCGTAAGATGGAGGAAGTCCGAGCCGTGAGTTCTCGTAGCCATTCGAAGACGTACCTTCACTCATTATCTTCTAGGAAGAAACGGCGAAATCGGATCAATTGTTCCTGTACATTGATTTGCCTAAATTTGACTTCCCCATTATCTTCAGCGAACCGGTACATCGCTTCCATTGTCCCTTATCTTTGCCCCCCTCAAAATTTATTAGGAGCCTCCAACAAATATGTCCATGGCCGGCGTCGGTGCACCGTCACAGACAACTCCTAGCATCCCGGCTCTCATCAGCATCCACTCTGACGTGCATCTTTGGGCGGTCCTTGATCCAGAAATTGCCCGAACGAATCCCGTCGAAGACAAACATAGACGCCTTGTTCGAAGTCATAGAAGCGGTCCTCTGGATCGTGATCTCAAGCCCAATGCGCGGATTCGAGATGAGCTGAATGTGAGTGGCGATCCCTTTCTGCTGATTCTCCTTTATCTTCTCCCCAATAGAATATCCTAAATTACGCTCCTACTCATCCATTAACGGCCGAAGACAAGGATCTTATCTGGAAATTTCGGTTCTACCTCACCGGACATGCCAAGGGTCTGACGAAGTTCCTCAAGTCCGTTTCATGGCGTGATCCGACAGAAGTTAAGCAAGCTGTTGAAGTGCTTCTTCCTATGTGGACAGACATTGATATGGACGATGCTTTGGAACTCCTCGGCCCAGGGACTGTGGATAGCCGTGTCAGAGCCTTTGCTGTGCGTCAATTGGCGCGAGCCGATGATGATGTAAGTGCATGTCAACCTTTGACCCATGCACTAGGACCCAACAGCTTCCCAGGAACTTGTGCTTTACCTGCTTCAGCTCGTCCAGGCTCTTAAATTTGAGAGTTCGCCAAATGAGGTGAATGCTCGGAGTGTTACCAGGTCCTCGGCAAACCGGGGAGTGATGGATGAGGATAGTGGATTGGCAGACTTCCTTATCAGCCGCGGTGTCAACAATCCAATATTAGGCAACCGATTCCATTGGTACCTCATGGTTGAAGTAGAGAACAAAGAAACAACGACAACGTATGGGCGTGTCTCATACAAATTTATGACAAAACTCATTGAAGTACGTGATCCGGAACCTCGTTGTGAATGACACTCACAACCAAAGACAGACTGAAAATGGGGTTACCCGCCGAGATGTGATGCGGCGCCAAGGCGAGCTCTTAGCAACCCTTTCGTCGAAAGCAAAAGAGCTCCGAACTTCAAAGGATGCCAGACCGAAGAAGATTGAAAAACTCCGTTCTTTGATCGCCGACTCGAAGTCTGGGCTAGCAAACATAAATCCTCCTATTCCTCTTCCTCTTAACGCACGCGTCGAAGTCACAGGCATCATACCAGAGAAATCATCCGTCTTCAAATCCAATCTCTTCCCTCTACTTCTATACTTCCAGTGCTCTGACGGAAGCGAGTACCCTCTCATTTTTAAGAACGGTGACGACATGCGCCAAGATCAGCTTGTCATTCAGCTGTTCACTCTCATGGACCGTTTATTAAGAAAGGAGAAGTTGGACTTGCGGTTGAGCCCTTACGATGTGCTTGCTACAGGTTCGCTGGAAGGGATGGCGCAATTCATACCTAGCATGACTATTGCCGCCATTGTGAGCGAGCATAGTACGGTTTTGAACTACTTTCGGGTTCATAGCCCAGATGAGGGCAGTGTTGGAACGTATGGAGTGACACCTTCTGTTATCGACACCTTCGTACGCAGCTGTGGTCAGTTGTTGCGAAATCCTCGTGGTTGAGTAGAGCCTCCGATGCTTATCCCCGGCCTTTGCAGCTGGATACTGCGTTGTGACATATATCCTAGGCGTTGGGGATCGACACCTAGACAATTTGCTTATTGCTCCAGATGGTGAGTCATCCGCTTTCATTTGATCTTTAGCCGATATTTAAGTGATACTTATATAGGTCATTTTTTCCACGGTATGCTTGTCACTCATTCCTGCAGGAGGTGCTGACTCTTGGTGTTCGCAGTGGATTTTGGGTACATTCTCGGTCGTGATCCCAAGCCATTTCCTCCTCCCGTTAAGGTCTGCAAAGAGATGGTAGATGGAATGGGTGGCGCTCCATCTTCGCACTACGCACGCTTCAAGAACCTTTGCTTCACGGCTTTCACCATCCTTCGCAAGTCTGCAAATCTCATTCTAAACCTGGTTGCTCTCATGGTGGATGCCAACATTCCTGACATCCGACATCGTGACGTGCACGAACAGATACAAGAGAAGTTCAGACTAGATCTCACAGAAGAAGAGGCTATCAAACACTTTGAAACACTACTGAACGAAACATCCTACTTCACCGTTGTGTTCGATCGTATCCACGACCTGGCACAATATTGGAGAGCATAGAGGTAGCGAAAATGAAGGTACGTGCATGTCGGGCTGTTCGAGTCATTAGCTCGGGCTTTATCTGATGGGCTGCGGACAATCCGATGCACTGAAACTGATTTATGGATGCGGTCCGTGGTCTCTTCGAACTCTCCACGCTTTAGGTGCCCATCCCACGTAAACACTATAAATCATTGTCCCAAATTTCCGCCCAAGAACGTGGCTTGACCTCACCATTCGAGAGCTCCATTTAAAACTTTCAACATGGTGATTAGTTGTGGTATGATTCACCACCATGACGACTGTGTAATTCCTTCCTCCTGCCCCCGGAGAGGCGAGTTCGCCTCTATGAAAATGTGTGCAGCCTCGGACTAAAAGTGACATGTTCATTTGACTTGTACGAGGGACGCCGTGAACCCAATCTGCAGCTTCGTCCTTGGAATGACAGTATTCTTCTGTGCGCTACAGTGCGATGACGATTCGGGTCATGATGGCAGGGTCAGAGGACGGAATGGCTTCAGGCGATATCATGATGCGACGGGGTGGCTGCCTAATGCAAAAGCACCAGCGATCTGCGCAAGCCCGCGTGTGCAACTAGTATCTACTGAATACTACAGTCTATGATTCCAGCAGATTGAGGACTGAAGTGACAACTGCGCAGGATCCTGGCCTCGACTAAAGTAGAAGAGACAACCAGGTCGGGCTTTATGAATTGACACTGTGATGTGATTTGTAAACGCCAACGCGGTTTCCCACGCTTTCGACGCAAACTCGAAATGAGTAGCACTAACACCAGTGATAAGAATCTTGCCGATGTGGAGGAAGGGAAAGATTCAATAGCCTTTTTTTATATCTTTGTGAGTGTGATAGCCTTAGGGCGTCAGGCCAGATTAACGGTTGTTACTTGTTTCGTCAATGTTGTCTCAACGTAGTTTGGGGTCGCCGTCAGTCAACTTAGTCATCTCCGCGAGGCAACTGTGAGCCGACGCAACATTCATTAGCTTTTCTTGCCTTATTCTCTATATGTTGTTGTTTCCAATAATCCGGCAGCACTGGGAGGATTCGCATACCACCCACCTCTTGGTGCTATCGCGCTGAGCGCCATGGCTTATGGTAAGTCATTCAAGTTCAGTGTGAATCCATCCCTTCATTCTTTCACAAGGTATTTCTGCGCTTCAGCCTGCCAGGAAGCCCGATGGAGTCGAGAAAGCACTAGACTTGCATGGATTTTTCATTGGTCTCGTTGCCGTTCCCCTGGTCTTGATCTCTGGAACCATTATGTACCAGCGGAAGGAGGATAGAGGCCAGCCTCATTACGTCTCATGGCACGGTGTTTGTTAGGATTTGTCCCGAGTTCGAAATAACACTCAAATTTAGACACAGATCGTGGGCATCACAACAGTGCTTTTGGCTGTAAGTTCCTTCGTGACACAGCAGTGTTTCGTGTTCATTGGAGCCGAATTTAATCCATCAGTTTATCCAAGCCATTTTTGGCGTCCTGTTATCGTGGGGATATCTTCCTCGGAAATTATACCGGTACCATAGGTGAGAGCTCGTTGTCGGTAGCAAAGGCGCCCTCTTTTTTAAAAATTTCACTGATTTCCTGCGCTTCCACAGGCAATCAGGCTACGCGGTCTTTACGATCCTAGTTCTTGCGTTCATGCTTGGCGGCTTATATTCAAATTTCATCGTTCGACATGCGTGGACGGCTACACGCTTCCTGGCATACGGTCTAGGCCCACTGAGTGTGTGGGGAGGGGTCGTGGCACGCATTCGGTAATGCACCATTAAAAAGCACCAAGTATTCAACTGACATGGTGTTTGATAAGGTCTAGAAAGCTGTGGTAGTCCCCAGCATCATTTCTCGCTACAGAGGGACCGCATATAGGTAGATCGGTCACTTGGCCGGAGCCATTTCGGTACTTTTGTCATTCTCGTTGTGTTCTTGGCTCGTCTCCGCCTCTAATGACAATTGGCTGACCCCGATGCCCAAACCCTCAATGCTCATCCTCACTGCTCGCTCCCAGACCTCCCTTACATCATATCCGCCCGCTTTGGCAACTTCGTTCCCACCGATAATCCCAACATCTCTTAGTATACCATCTGTCCCAGGATCAACATACTTTTCTTTAAGCGTGAATTTCCCCCATACACCTTGGCCAGTCTCGGAGTAATATGGGTCTGTGAAGGGAACATGCGGAATGTCTTTGACGTTCGAACGGATACGCTGCGCAGCGGTAGCAGCAGTTGCGGCTGAGGTTTGCTGGACAGCTTGGACGTTTGCGACTTTGGCCCTTTTAGCTGCCTCAGCACGTGTCCTGGCTATAATTTTGGAAGCAGAAGCATTGCTTTGTTGCTAAGTGGGACCGAAGGATATGCGGGTGAGAGCGGAGCCACATGAATCATGACTGAGCAACGAACCAGACCATCAATAATATCTCTTTCACGTTTCTCCCGCTCCTTTCTTTCTTCTTCCTCTTCTAATCTCGCTTCTTCGGCGCGATCTGCTTGCTCCTTTTTCAACCGCTCCTCCTCGACGCGGACCATCGCTGCTTCGCGCTCGTCTCGTTGTATATTGAGTTCAATTATCGTCGCATTTTGAGCCCGAAATGCTGCTATTCGTTCCTCCGTCTTTTGGGTGTCAATTCCGTTGATTAGGTTAAACGCTTGAACGGGCAGATTATTAAATATTCGGGATACGCAAATGATGGTTCCTACATACTGATGTCCTCGACTTCTTCAAGATAATCATTAAATGATTTTAGGTCAGGGAAATCCTCTCTGCGCTTGTTGAATCTGTGTCGGAAGGGTTCCGGTGAACAGACTGACACAGTTAGCTAATAAGAATCCTCACTCTTTCGCCATTCGCCTCCGAACTGCGACCTCTTTCTCAACAACAAGATCTTCGAATGTTTGCGGCGAAAACTGCATTTTACGGAGCGTCTTGCCACATATTGGACACGGAGCTGGCCCCAGAGTGAACAATCGATCGATACAGGACTCACACCTGCGTGAGCGAGTCATTCATTCAAAGGACAAACGTGCAGTAAGGTCGTCGCGAACATTTTGTGGTAGCAGGTGCTGACTAAGAGGCGAAGCTTTGGGTTGAGATACCTATCGCTTTTGCAAACGGGACATTCATCCTCCATAGACTAATGTTAGAGGGTGGTCGGTAATAGTAAGAGTATGTATCGAGTGTTATGCAACATGAGCTCGCCTATCTAGTTCTGCTGAACTTGGCGCAACTCACGGAGTACTCTGTCGTCTTCCCAGTAGGATCCTTCACACCTCCAGAGAATATCTGCGCGCCTATGCCTCCTAACCCATTGGATGTCGATATAACTCTCCCTGCAGTAGACCTCTTCGTTGACCCTTTTAGCCACGGCACGGACATTTGTCATGGAGATACGTCGGGATGTGATCAGAATTCCCACGTTCTCGTGCTCATGATGTCGCCTTCTCTTGGAACAACGACTTTGACTTCAAGCGATAGCATATCATAATCCTGACGACTCCTTGCAATGAACCAATACTCTGGCTCCACGGTAGCTGTTACATATAGAGGCTGGTAACCTGCTTAGGTAGCTATGTAACGAATGGGACACAATATTAAATGCTGAACATATACTTAGTACTGTAGGTACGACCTTCAAATCACCTTGCCGTACGCGGGAAATCAAATGTTGATACTAGTCCTGATAGAGGCTGGTAACCTGTCTACGATCAAAAATCACTGCCATTCGCGCTGCCAGGGTTCTCCCACTGTACCTGAACGACACAACTGACTTTCTTCTGGCAAAGATACCAGTTTACGGCAGCAGCGAGCAGACAGACAGCAGCGAGCACCAGTACCACACCTTTCATTTCTGAAACCCGCCGGAAGTTGGACCCAAAGGCTCCTTAGAGTCCGCCATTGCAAAGAGGCGATGTATTACCAATGTCGAACCAAGGATCCCTGGATTGATGGAGCTAAAATAGCCTCATTTTGATTTCTTGATTTACGGGCGGGCACCGACAGAAGCCCGAAACCGGTCTAAGCACCTATCCGTGATAGTGAGTTAGCGGCGCCTAATCAAAACACTTTCAACAATTTGTAGGTGTTACTGTACTTGTGATTAGATTGGGAGAAGCTAGCGCAAGTCTTAGGCAAAAGGCATCATGAACCTCTGGTCAACGGAAACAACTTTGGATCAATACAATTGCTTCACTACTGGTTAATTAGTGTCTCGTTGTCAACACCATCGCTTGGCAGGTACAAGGTAAATAGCATTCAATAAAGTTACAAACGGGGGATGCCGATAAGGTCTCCTTATAATGGCCCGATCCAACGCAAGGAACCCTCTTTCACAACTAACCAACGCCTGCCAAATTTTCTGCTAGACCCTCCTTCCCTCCTTTTAGCGAGCGTGACGCGTAACACACGCAGACTTTCCTTTACATCCTCCCACTCTTCGAAACCACTAGTCAGTTGATCTCAACCATGCGCTTCATCGCCGTTGCTTCCATTTTCTTTGCTGCTGCCTCTTGTGTTCTTGCCCATGGTCATGGTCATGGATGCTCATCCTCCCAGTTCAGCTGTTAGTCCATTCGCCTCCTGGCTTTCTAAAACGGACTTAGCCTTATCTTTTTCCTCTCTTATCTACTAGGGACCATCCCCGGCACGAATACTCATATTTGTCTCCCAAAGAATTTCCATGGTGATGGGAACTGCCCGTAAGTGCCTTTCCTCCCCTCCCCTCCCCCTTTCCGACTAGCACTAACACCCACGCTCATCTAATAGATCCGATAAGGAATGTCCCGAGGGTTGGGCATGGAGTGGACATTACAAGGTTTGCGTTCCCAAAACCAACAGGCCCCGCTATCCTTCGTGCCCTCATGGAGATTGGGACTTCCGCAACCAATGCTGCCACAAGCCAACTGGAACGAAAGGTGGAGATCATCCCAAGCCCTCTCATCGTCTCGGTCACGACGATCACCATGATGGTGGTGATCATCATCATCATCGGGCTGTCCGTCTTAATGGCTACAAGTACTAAATTTAAGCAAAGAAATTACTCGGTATGGCATGGCCTTTATTGTTCCTTGAATCACCGCTCACAGCTTGCCTCGATTGTTTCTTCCCAGGCACCCTCTTGGGGGTAGTGCTACTGTCGTTCGCCGATTGCCATGTGGCAACCCATTTCCTTAATTTAACGCCCGTGAACGGTGACCGTGCATCTCCTTGTCTTTTCAGGTCATCACCGCACCGCAACCCTCTTCTGTCCTGCCGTTGCAGTCCGGACTCCGGGGATTTATTTCTCCAAGATATCCACGGCTCTCATCACTCTTATTTATATACGAGGTGCTCATGCTTTTTTTTTTTTTTCTTGCAGTTTTTCCCTCGCCTTCTAACGGCCCAGTGCCATCATTGTGTCTTCGGATGCATGTAGCCCCGCTGATCTCCACCTATGTTTCCCCCACATTAGTTCGGCCACTTTATCTCTTTTCTTTTCTCACGTTACATCGGATGAGATTGTAAAGTAGCGGCTGGCAGGAACAAGATGATTGTCTGTTGTCATTGCATCCTCGTCCCTCCGGCCCTGGTTGGCGGCTGACCCATGGTTTTCCCGCCCTTTGGCACCCACGTGTCCAGCAACTCCTGCCCAGTCTTCTAACACCCGTCGGTAAATTCTGAATTCTCTGGGCATCATGCAAATTATCCGCAAAAAAGGGCTGAGCGAACGGAACTTGGTCTAGACTACATCTGTACCTATCGTAAGGGTTGCACGATTGGCTCAACAGGGCATCCGAGATTACATAAAGAAACAAAGTATGTCCGGTTCTAGAGCGGTTCATGCATATGGCGAATGGGGAAGACACGTCAGAGCATTACATAGCAACATGTTATCATGCATAGCGCTCGGTGAGTTACCAATACGTCCAACAGTAAAACGGAAGCTTCCTGTTGTTGTCCATTGCCTTGGTGACAGCTATGCATACACGGACCACTGAATAGGCGTCGTTAATTTGTTTTGACGTAAATGTGATCCCTCCACGATGCGAGTCCGTGGTTACCCAGGTGCTCTCCACGCTTTCGACCTCGCCAAAATATGGTGCCGGGGGTACCTTAATATGCGTGAGTAACCATGCACCTTCCGCGCAGGACTCATGTACATACCCGATCACAGAGCTAGAGAATGACCCCACCTTCCTGGTAAGCTTGACGTCCGTTCCTAAGTATATCGAGAGGATTTACGGCAATGGCATCCAGTAATCGTTTACGAAAAAACATGATTTGAAATCTTTCATTTGCAACCCAAGCTTGTCGAGACAGAACAATTTTGGAAATTACATATCCTTTCTCTTGGTTTCGGTCATACACTGACGTTAGTCTCGTCTCTAGGGCTCGAAAATTGCCCCAGGACACCTTGCCGGTTTTGGGACTTGTTGCCCAATATGTTGTCAAGATCCCAATGGAGGAGTCTCGAATCAAGACACTTCCAGTTACATCAGAAGACAAAGACACTGTAACCTGGCATGTACAAAGGATCAGGAACAATATTGCGAAAATTAATCCAGTTGAGCGGATTTGCCTATCGTTCTGGGTTTTTACATCATTAGCTACCCAGGTTGTGTTCATGCCTCAATCCAGTTGTGTGCTGATTTGACTTGTTCTTGGAGTGCCTGATGTGGTCTGGGGAAGCGCCACTGGATTTGCACGTCGTGGATACTCACTCAGTTATATCGTCGGCTAAGGATGTCCCTAGGCAGGACTCCAGCCTCTATGACTTCGTAATATTATAAGATGTCCCCCGGTTCGCGCTTTTGTTTCCTCTGTTCCACTGACCCCTGGAGCGAAACAAAACCGCCATTTCGAAGTGCTACGTTGATCCTTTCTTACTCAGGTTCTGATCCCTTCTGTCAATTTCGATGTCTATGTTGGTTCTTCCACTACCTGTCATGGGAGATCATCATGCCACCCGCGTTCTGTACGTGTTCCGCGCTTATCTTATCACCGGTAATCCAGCAGAAGATATGCAACCACCAGCAAGTGATACGAAGGACATACTTAATTTCACCGACACTACCGGTGGTCGATCTGTCACTTCGGCTGGGCTACCTCTAATAACCGTAGAGAATGTGGAGAACGTGACGAGTGATGATGTACAATAATATAATTCTTATTGAAACCTCTATCGCACTACTTCCTCAAGGAGATTTAGCCCTTTCAGTACTGTACTATAACGACCATAAGTTCGTCGCATGTCGCACGAAGATTTTGGATTGAATTGATTTGGTGCCTCCGGCAACTTCCGGAGGCCGTGGGAATGAACTAACGGTCGTTATACTACAGTATCCACTATTTTTTTAAGTTATCAGCACAATCCGAGATCCTCGGTGCAAACGTCTACTTGCAAGTGGAGTGTTTACGATTTATCCCAAGGACTAAGGACACTCGGGTACCTCCGGCCGACGAAGAACACAGGCTGCCAACCCCTGCTCATTCAGATGACACAGGTGCTAGGGACGTATGGGAAACTGGGGCCCGGGAGCCGTGTATGAACAACATGGCACAAAGCAAACAAGCAAAGCAGCTTTGAGTGGATGCCTAACTTCAACATGCAGGACGAGAATCGGTCTCGTTCGATTGTCGAAAACAAGACACAACTCGGAGGAAACCTTTATTGGAGTCCGGGATATATTGTGGACGGACCATCAGCATCAACCCAGACTCGGACCCAGTCGTTCCAAACGTTCTGACAAGATAAACAAGCATAAACAGAACGGCCGGGTACGAGCCTGGGCATCAGCCTTGATTTAGACAAGGTTTGTTTCTGTTTGTTTTTACTTTTGGTTAGTTTCGCTCATCGGCCCTTCAATTCAAAGGGTGCTTCAAACCCGTCCCGGGCGAAAGCAATGAATTTGTCGGAGTGATCCTGCACGCTGCCTTTCAGGACAATTTCCCTTGACATATAGCCACGCCCATTGGTGCGCCGCTATATACTACCCCACCTCTAAGCCTAAACGGCTAAGCGCCCGTACGTGTCATTGCGCACTCAATCTTTTGGGGGATTGGGTGTAGCCTTCGGGCAACAGCTGCCCACTTAGTTTCTGGGCTTAGTGATAGGCAGGGACAATGTTTATCCCTCTCTGAATGTTATGTCAACACAGCAGCTTTCAGAAGAGGAGGCGGTGACTGACTTAGTAAACCCCTTTTTCCATGTTTTCCCACGTCCCCGCACAGCCCTGGGTCCCCAACCCATATAAGAACCGTATGTCAGCCAGCAAAACATCACTAGTTGTGCTGGACGGCGATCAGTTGGGCCTCCATGTCGTACTACACGACGTACCTTCCTTACCAGTACTATACATACCATCAGCCTCCTCAATATGTCGCAACCCAATACCTGCCTCATTGGGCTGATCCGTCACTTTCTCAATATGTTTACTATCCGACACCCCCGCATACCTACCTAACAAGCACCGGCCCCGCCTATCCTCCACTCCAGCGAGCTTTATCATACATGCCAGGGGTTCCAAAGCAGCAAGGATCGCGATCGCTGGAGCAACCCTGGTTGTCGAGATCCAAAACGTCCATCATACCACCCAATACTCCCAGGCAGAAGATAAAGCGAGAGAGACCACGATCATCATGGCTCCGCCGCTTGGGATTCTCATAGGCCGTACTGATCCCTTCCTGTGCCAAATGTTGGCGTACGCGAGGATGTACGATCCGCGATTGCTTTCTTTCGGGTGGTGAAACTAGGGCCACAGATCACTGCCATCGACGAGCTTTGCAGGACAACTGGAGCCGCAGCACCTCGAAGTTAGCCCCTCGGAAGAGTACGATGTTGGTCATCAAACCCATCTGCCCACCTCTCTGCCCACACTTCTTCATTCTTATTTTATGTACTGTCTTTACGAACTCCGCAGCGTTTCTCTGCCACGTCTGTATGATTTATATTTAACGATCGCGAGCAATGCTGTATATATATATATATGCTATAAAATGTATAACTTATCCGTGCGATTTGATCACCCTTTCTTTCGATCTCACCAGCTTGGTATTGGTGCTATGTAGTTGGTCCGACAACCACTGGTGTTTTTTTTTGGGCTATCGGCCGTTTCAATTCATTAGATTGCAATTCGCGCAAGTGGTTCATAGAGACAAAAAAGAAAACATTTCATTGAGGAGAGCACAAAGATTCGCAGGCACAAGAAACTTTGGGTCCAATCGGTTCCGGCCAGGAGATAGTGGAGGTGGCCCAAAATGGGCCAGCAGGAAACGCGATTGCAGAAAAACAACGGCAGCATACAACAGTCAAGGGCGAGCCGTAATAAGGTTACGTGTCATGAATATCTTGCAAGGGTCATGGGAATTCCCATGAAATAGAACAATACCCAGCCAGCACCAAAACCCAGTGGAAAAGCTCCAGTGGGAAAGCTTTGCATGGGCATTAACGAACGTCGGGAATAGGATCAAAAACTGAACAATGGACAGGAAAGGAAGTTCGCACATCTGATTCGACTTTAAATTGGACGTTGGGATTCGGAAAAGGAGATGAAAAAACTTCAGGCAAAGGAGGGTGGTGGTAATTCGGAAAACTGGAATGGAAACAGCAGACAAGGAGAGTCGATATATGAAGCCTAATTCGATAACCGCAATGGATTATTATTAATTACGCGCCAACGAAACGGCACTAGTTGCTGCACACCCGTTGAGGCAATTAAGCAGCGCATCGAAACATGTAAAGCAGGAGAAGCATGGGGTCGAGTTGGAAACAGGGATCGGGACTGTATGGGAGGTCGTTAGTTATTCTGAAATATGGTGAGGAATAGGGTAAAATTGCTTACTATAGTTAGAACAAAACGAGGCCAGTATAGGGTGAGGAAATTTCAACGAAAGACTTGGGATAGTGGTGGAAAGGTGGATGTTCCGACAAAGGCCAGCGAATGGGTAGGATCGTCTGTGGTGACAGAACACGATTATTGCAGACGGTCGTATACATGTATTGAGTTAACGCTCGCATTCGGGGAATTTGGCACAAGGAAATTGTCAATTTCCTGCACTCACGGAACTCAATTCAGGGCGCGCTCGAGGCTTCTCGCGCCAACTCATCGGCTTTGGTATTCCTTGCTCTTGGGACACGCCAAAAACGCACAGACACACCGCATTGACCGAACTCAACCACAAGTGCATCTAATTTTTCAAATAGGTCGCGGTTTTCGACACGTCGCCTGCCCCGGCGCATCCATCCATTAGCTCTCCACGCAAAGATCCATTCAGTGATTCCCCGATAGACGTATCGGGAGTCGGTGATAACGACAACATCCTCGGGTTGACTCGACTCAGGAATGCAGTCACGAATTGTCTGAAGAGCTCCAATTGAAGCATGGAGTTCAGCACGATTGCTTGTCTGGGGTCGGTTCGAGGGAAGGCACTCGCTGACATTATAGCGCGAACTAGGCCCGAAGTAGCAGCCATAGCCACCGATACGTTGACCATGATGTTCATTGTACTGATAGGAGCCGTCAACGAACACTACTAAGGTGTGGGGCATATATTGTTTGCTACGAAGCCTTTCCCTCAAACATAAATGGTGCTGCTTCAAGCAATAGCGAACGACATTGTTCGGATCGACATCCTGGTCGGGAGACACGCCTTCCCAGTAATTCCCCGGGTCGAAACGACGGGAGATGGGAGCTGGCATTGAACGTAAAAGAAAGACTGGAGGGGTGCGGGTAACGTCATTGCGGGGGGGGTGCTTATATACTTTCCGTGGAGATTGCCGGACCAAAAGAAAGTTCCCGGATCATAATCGAAGAGGGGATATCACGCAAAATCGGAGCGCCCGATTTGGGTGGATCTTGTGATCATCCAAAATTAGCAGCAAACTTATGACCGCCCCCCTAAATCGTCGGCCAGCACAGCCACCGATTTTTGTTTTGACGCCTGGAGTCAGATTGAGATGGAGTTGGCTGACGGGATACTGGTGACTCGCCTCAATTACTGCCCAGCAGCAGTCGAACTATATGAATAGAGGCTGGTGAGTCGAACTGCTCAAGAGTCACAGGAGCCGGGTACAGCCGGTGTTTATGTGGAGGGAATTACCAATTCCGTACTCGCACAGGAGTTACCTCAGTTGGCCGCTCCGCAATAGATTTACATCGTATATAACTGCACTCCTTGCGCGCTGGCACTACGTTGTTCTAATAGATATTAACAGCCGGCAGTGGGTACCCTTGGTACGATATCAAGTCGCTATCGCTTAAATACCTATTTGCGTGGCCAGCCAGAACAATAGGTGGTACAGGATATGGCGAACAACATGAGGTTAGGGTAAAAGGAACAAGTATCCCGCCACTGGTACGGGTAACGATTGCGCTTTGTATGACTTGGTGCGCCACATCGGCAATAGGGTGCCTGGCAGCGTACCTCTGTCACCGCGTTACGTCGGGTTGCCACATCAACAATAGAGGCCATTATCATTAGTACAGGGCTGTGAAAACACATTGGTCCGCTGGTCTGAACAGCCGCGATCAACACTCGCAATTCCATTTGGTTCGTCTGAACTCGGCCAAGTTCCGCGTGGTGCGGGGAAATTGTTATAATCCTCTCTCGTATTGTGGCTCCATATTTTTCTCTTCGATAATCAGCCAAGCGAGGTCCGCCATGCTGCCCTTACGAACGCCGAAAAATGCCTACTGCTCCTCATCAGCACGTGACACCACCTCGAAAAGAGAGGGCTAACGTCGTCTGAAACAGAAACACAACCCACACACACCCTAGCCCCTTAATCCTCACCTATAAGACACCCCAATCACCACCATGGCCGAACACCAAAATTCGGACCCAGGAGGAAAACCTGAAACTAACCCACCGCTAACGTACCCAACGCCCAACGCAGGGCCAGACCACGACAACGATGCATGGACGGACCTCGACACACCCCAACTCCCTAGAATCGCCCAAACGGACGTGGAAATGGGAGACGAAACCTGCTGGCACAAGGAAGAACTTGAGGAACAAGACTACGCTTGCATCGATAACGTCTCCGAAACGATGAAAGACACACTCGAAAGACTCGCACTCCTCAGATCCGTGGGCCTCTGGAAACACCTCCACTACTACAAAGACTGGATACGAGAGATAACGAACCTAGACATCGAGAATAACTGCCCCAACCCCGCTGAGTCCCAACCTGATAACCTCGCTGCGATAAGCGCCAAGCTCACAGAGCTGACGCAAAGAATTAACACACTAGAATCAGGACAGTACACACAAAGCACCCCCCTGCCCAGGGACCCAGTCACCGTAGCCACCCCCATGGCGTTCCACAAAGCCACCTGGGCGAACATAGCAGCGAAGACCCCCCCACCGCCCAAAACCAGCCCAACCCCAACAAAAGACCAGGACACCACGCCACTGGACACAACAAGCCCCGCCACAACGGTGGACCCGAGGTGCCTCATCATCCAGATACACCCCCTGATCAAACTAGAAGAACGCCCAAACGGCATCGAAGCACGCAAGAAGATCAATGACCTACTGGAAAAGAAAAACATACCACACTACCTCAGAGTGATGGCAATCGGATACTCCGTAGCTGGCAACATCAAGGTCACTACTGCCCCCACGTGCAAAGCGTCAGACCTCATCGCCTTCGGACACGAAATAGCGGCCTCAGAACGAAGTCGTCTCAGTACTACCAGACGTGGAACACTACCGCGTAAAGATCAATAAAATCCCCACACATGGCAACAACGAGCTGATTACACCCGGAATGGTACACGAGGAACTAGCCACCTATGTACCACAATACAAAAGCCTCAGATACTGGAGACTGCCAAAATGGCTCGGAACAGATGAGACCATCCGCGCTAAGAACTTCGCGTCCATCGTCGTTGACCTATCTAACAAAAAAGACAGGGACACACTGCTTAGCCTCAAATCGGTCTACCTATTCAACACGAAATGCACGATCACCCCATATGAGGACTGGATCCAGATCCACGCATGCAGCAAATGCGGTATGCTCTCCCACCGCACAGCTGTCTGCAAACAACCCCATTGCCTGAAATGCGGCGTGAAAGACCATGAAACTGAATCCCACCCCACAGAGAGCGAACCCCGATGCATTAACTGCAAGGGTAAACACGTGAGTGCGCACAAAGACTGCAAAGCTAGGAGAAGCCGCATGGGCCTCCCCCCAACGCCGAGGAACATGCCCACAACCCACACTGCCCCGACCGACACCCAGACCGAGAAAAGTACGAAAAAGAAAGGCAAAGGTAAGCAGAAACCAAACACATCCCAAACCATACCAGATGCCCCCCCAGAATACAGTCTATCGGACCAAGACCTGAGCAAAATCCTGAGCCAACATCAATCCCCAGCGGCCCAAAAAGCATCCGCAGCCAAAATGGTCAGTGCCAGAGCCAGGGGCGGCTTAACCACAATCCCGTCTATCAAAATCACCCTTCCCAAACCCAAACCTACCGGCAACCAGATGGAAATCGAACCGTTGAGCCAACCTGAAGGGCCAACTCAATGAATCGACGACCAAAAGCAACAGCAACACTGACGGTGTGCAGTCTGAATGTCAATCGCTCAAATGCGGCCACACAGGCCGCGATGCACAACATTGCCAACAGAAAGAACCCCCAAATTGATATCTTACTCATCCAAGAGCCCTGGTGGCACAAAGTAAACAACACCCACATCCCAGTCGCCTTCAAGGGGTGGCAAACCATTCTTCCTAAACTACCCATCGCTGAAGGCGACAGGCCTAGAGCTATGGCATACTTCCGGCAGAATGCAAACATAGAACTCACTTTGAGGAATGACCTTGCGTCAGACCTCGATTACTTGATTCTAGATGTTAAAAGAAACGGCTCAACACAACAACCAGTGAGACTCATTAATATCTACAACCAAAAATCGCTCAACATGAACCAGACTAAAGAGTACACGGTGGAAAGACTGGCAGAAACCATGACGGACACGGACATTCCAACCGTCCTCACAGGCGACTGGAATATCCGACACCCGGACTGGGATGACCATGTTGACACACCCTGCCCTAGAACCGTAGACACACTAGAATGGCTTGAAGGTGGATCATACTCACTATGCAATGAACCCTACGTGCCAACCTGGGAAGACAACAATGGCCACTCATCCGTGATTGACCTCACCTTCGCTAACTCAGCAGCTAGTGGAGCCGGGGCCATACATGGCCACTACATTGACACGGAAATCGGTTGTCTTTCGGACCACCACGCCACAATATTCCAAATCGGCCCTCCAAGAGAGCTGGTTGTCAACCCCTGTGAATCCAAACTAAACTGGAAACATGCAAATGAAGAAGAATTCACCAAAGCACTAATAGAGGAGATAACCCGTGAAAATCAAAAAGTAGAAAGCCTAAAGGGCAACCTACTTAATGAGAACCGGCACACAGCATCACCTGAAGAATTAGAAGAAGCCACGGCTACTATCCACAAAATAGTGGAAAATGCCGCCGCAAAATCCGTCCCACTCAGACGCCCCAGCAAGGCCTCAAAACCCTGGTGGAATGAAGACCTAACTAAGTCATACCGCGAGCTGAGACAAACCAGAGACTCACTAAGAGGATGGGTGAAAGACTTCAACCGCCCATCAGTATTCCTTGCAGACAAAGTAAAGTCCCTACAGAAGGACATACGCATGTGTATCAGAAAAGCCAAACAGGAATACTACCGCAAACTCACTGAGGAAGCCAACCCAGGCAACATGTGGGACTTCCGTAAATGGACGAAATGCCAAAGGACATACACCTCCCCCCCAATAGTAAATGGAACAGAACACCCAGCGATAAATCACAAAGAAAAATGTACCATACTGCGCGAAAACCTCTTCCCCCAACCACCACCACTACCAGATGCCCCAACAATTAACCTCACCCCCCGCAATGAAGACATAGAATACATCAGTGTAACTAAGAAAGAAGTACGCGATGCCGTATTCACAGCCGCCCAACTAAATGCACCAGGAATCTCAGGCCTGACGGGCCGAGCATGGCGCTGGGTGTGGCAAACAATGGAGAATGAAATATACCACCTTCTGAGACTATGTGCCGACTCAGGTTACCACCCCAAAATCTGGAGAACCGCCATCGTGGTAGCCCTGCAGAAACCCAACAGAGACTACACACTCCCCCGTTCCTACAGACTCATCCAACTTCTAGAGGTATCAGGCAAAGCCCTAGAAAGAATCCAGGCACGAAGACTTGCCTTCCTGGCAGCAAAGCACCAGCTTTTCCCCAACTCCCAGTATGGGGGACTTCCGGGCAGGTCAGCACAGGATGCCCTGCTCACCATCACCCACGATATAGAAGCTGCATGGAACCACGGCAAAGTGGTAACAATGCTCACCTTCGATATCACAGGCTTCTTCGATTTCATCCCCCACTCGCACCTCATTGACACCATGAGGAAACTCCACATCCCCATCCCCATAGTGAAATGGACACACAGTTTCCTGTCAGACAGAAAGGCAGCCATTTGCCTGGACGGCAAGCGCGACGAACTCAGACCGATCACGACAGGTGTCCCACAGGGCTCTTGTGTATCCCCTATCCTCGCTGCATTCTTCACATCCCCAATGTGTAAAGCCATCACAGAGGAAACCGCAAAGAAACTAGACTCAGACCCAGAGCTGAGTCCACAGTACAAAAAAGGACTAATAAAACTCACGCCACTAACGCTCTACATAGATGATGGCTCACTGGCAGCCTCAGCCCCATCTAGAGCCGAAGCGACGAAAGTAGTCCAGATGGCGTTCACAGCAGCCCACAGCTGGTTGAAGAAACGAGGCCTAAAAACCGACCAGGTGAAGAGCGACTTAATGCACTTCACCAAATCCAGGATCGGCAGAAATGCAGGCCCAGGCCCTGCGATCACCATACCTGCAAACGAAGAGGGCACAACCAGAACGGTCAACTGTTGGAATTTGTACACGTGGTCTCAGGAACCTTAATGCATAAAATATGGACATTCTGGGAGTCGAACCGCAGAGCCCTGCATAGGTACCTTGAGTGTGTTACCATTACACTAAATGCCCGCATTAGGCGGAGGTGGTTTCTAACACACCCCCTTCACATTGGATTGAGCCCATGATCCACATGTGACCCTAACCACCGGGCTTCCAACAGCCTGTGAGCCGTCACCCCCTGAATTCATATTCAGGCCGGACTTACTGCTAATCTCCTACATGTCCACGTCATGTGGTCTGAAGCAGCCGGATTTGGGTCCTTAGTGCTCTGAGCTACACCCCCTGAAACTTTGTCAGGCCGGCTGATTTAATGCTTGACTTCACGTGCCCATCTCACGTGGCAGCAACCGGATTTGGGTGTGCTCGGTGACTTCCGTAGAATGTCCACCATGTTGGAATTTGTACACGTGGTCTCAGGAACCTTAATGCATAAAATATGGACATTCTGGGAGTCGAACCGCAGAGCCCTGCATAGGTACCTTGAGTGTGTTACCATTACACTAAATGCCCGCATTAGGCGGAGGTGGTTTCTAACATCAACCCCTCCAACCTGATGAGATACCTAGGCATCTGGTTCGACCCACAGCTCAAATTCACAGAGCATGTCAAGAAGACAACCGCGAAGGCTGCCAGTGCGGCACACGCACTGAGAATGCTCGGTAACTCGGAGAGAGGACTACACCAGACACATCTGCGTCAGATGTACATAGGAGCCGTCCTCCCAATCGCACTATACGGACTCCCTGTATTCTGGCGCTCTAAACCCGGACTGGTACTCAGAACATTATCCACCTTACAGAATAAGTGCCTGAGAATGCTGACTGGAGCATTCCGAACCACCAACATCAACGCTATGGAAATAGAAGCATCCATTCCGCCCATCGACATCTACCTAGACTACAGGATGGAAATGGAAGCAACCAGACTAGCCCGCCTCCCAGACGACCACCCACTCATCAACAGACTTTACCCACAACAGCGGAGACTCACCACCCCCACCACCCCACCACCCCTCCCAGTGTTTAACCCCCGGGGAAAATACAAGACAGACCCGCGAAAGCGATTCTCAACTTGCATCACCCGGATCGCCAACCACATCCTCCCAGGGACAGAGAGGATCAATCCCCTCCTCGAAAGCCCATGGGACATGTCCGAACACGACATCACGGAACGCATCCAACTCTTCACCCCACCCAACAAACCCGGCGACTCATTCAAGCAGGAGTGGGCTGATGACCACCTAGCATTCATCACTGAATGCGAAGACGACCCCGACATCCTCTTCGTATACTCGGACGGCTCCCGATACAAAGAAGATGGAAGGACCAAAACCGGATATGGCACAGTAGGCTACCAATGCGGCAAGGTCATATTCGAGGAGAAAGGCGCCATGGGCGAACACGTGGAAGCTTACGACGCGGAGATGAAGGGCCTGAAGACGGCCGCAGATAACATCAGACGAACCCTGGGAGACGGTAACGTCACCATAAGACCCTCGCGCATTGTCATATATGCAGACAACACGAGTGCACTGAAACGCGTCTTCCAGAGCAAACCGCAAAAAGCGCAGGAGTTAGCCAGAGAATTCAGGAGGACGGTGTGTAAAATCCTAACTGAGTCCGAGGACGTCAAAATCGCACTACACTGGTGCCCAGGCCACCTCGGCATACCAGGCAACGAGAGAGCAGACCAATTGGCTAAAGACGGTGCCCACCTCAGACCAGCCCGACCAAACTTCAAATCCCTCTCATACGTAGAAAGCCTACGCAAGAGAGAGATGGTCGAAGCCTGGACCCACCGATGGGTAAACACCCCGAACTCCCCAAGATCGGGATTCTATGAAGCAAACCAACTCGCGCCGAAGCTGAAACCCACCAGACGCTTCAGCAACCTCGACAGAAAGACGTTTAGCCGAGTCCTGCAATTCCGCACAGGACACGCCCACATCGGCGAATACTACCACCGATTCGGCATTACAGCGGAAAGCAGAGAGTGCCAATGCGGCAAACCCACACAAACGAGAACCCACATCCTAGCGGAATGCCCCCGAGTCAGCAGACACAGACACCTACTTGGTCGCGGCAACCAGACCAGGTTCCACATCCTCGTAGGTAAAGTGAAAGGCATAGAAAGACTCGCATCTTTCATCAGGAAGTCCAGAACAGGCGACAAGCACAAGACCGACGGCCACCACGCGGAAAGGAGCACGACCCCAGGGGCACGGACGGCAGGTTAAGCGAGGGAACACGCCAGATACAGAACGGAGCCACGGCAGAGAAGAGGAAGAGAGACAGCCGAGAGGAACAAAATAATTTATTTCCATATTTCTATTTCTTTTATCAACACCACGACAATACCCACCGACACCATAGAACCCGAGGATCCTTGACACCAGACGATACCAACCAGACTACCCACACACACTACGTATAGAAAGTCCCCCCCTCATGTACGCCACGGTGTATCGACGGGACAGCCGCACTGCCACGACATCACGAGGCCGCGGGGTATTACAGCAACCGTCAAAAAAATCTGCGCGTCAGATTTGGATGCATGACCCGAGTTGGATCTCGTGATTGTCCAAAAATGGTCGGAAATCAGGGTCAATTTCGGTGTCAATACATTCGGCATTTAGCGCTCGTGGTGCGGGGGTCTTCAGGTTCGCAAGAGCCTCTTCCGTACTCATGTGAGGCATGGATAATAATGATATAGCATGAATACTAAGAGCGTCGTCGGCCACGGGTCTCAGCAAAGGTGGTCAGGGGATTCCTGATAAGGCAATACTCAACTCGCGATCAATCAGAGGTAAGCTAGAAACTATCTTGTCAACGCATGTCTGTGCGTATTTATACATACACGAAATGTATTATCTGGGGATTTCCCACAATAATCCAGAATATTCCGGCAGGTTCTGGTCACTTGCGGATTCCAACAGGATTACAATCCTCGTGGATGGTGCATGCAGACAGCTGGGTTACTGCTGAAATATCGTGTGTGCTCGTCGAGTTAGGCATCGTGATGATTAGATCCTTGGCTGCGGGTTTGAGGTGTCTGCCCACTATATGCATGCGCAGCCTCTATAACAATAGAACGATGAGTAATATCCTTTTTCGGTGGTGCCATTGGGACACGGTGATTTTTTCCCTAAATCGCAAATCACATGTTTTGCCTGATATATCCATCAAGATTTGACGCGCAGATTTTTTTGACGGTTGCTGTAAGATAGATTTATCATCATCATCACCTACTGCTCCTCTGTCAATTTGTTCTATATATTGACAGCTCGACCCATCCAACTAAACCGTATGCCTCATTCCCTTCTGAGGCGGCCGCGAGTCGTAAGGTTCGACGCCGGGTCAGGAGGACTGTTGTAACCAGTGCGCAAAGAACAGAACTGGGAAATAACCTCCCATCGCCGGCCATACCCGGACCCGAGGTTGTTAGCCGTACTCAGAGGGGGGGGGGAAAGCCCGCCCAGCAAAGAACCCACGAAGGGACGGGCCTCCTCGAGCAGGTTTCCTTGCTGTGTGTTCCACCACGGACAGTACGTCGCCGTGGCGGTTCTAAATGTCAAGGATCATTCAGGGGTAGCGAGAGCAACAGCTGGGATGGGCCCAATAACGTCCAGCAGGAGAGTCTTGCTCGCTTGCTGGAAAGCTGTCGCTCAGGCTGAGCGGAACGAATACATGTTCCAGAATACCGGGGGGCGATTCTCATAACCGTGAAGATGCATCTATTTACTAAGCCTAAATATCGCATGGTCGGTTTTAGCAGTTGACCGTTGCGAATTATCACTGAAGCTTTAAGGCTCGAACTTGGGCAACCACGGGAATTGCGGGTGTCGGACGGTGTCACATAGTGTATGTATTATTAGGTGCCTCGATCCAAACGGATGACGCCTGGCATTCCTTCGGTCATCTTTTTGGTTTCGATATCGTGTTCCAAAGCATTGTTGTGAAACAACAATACTCTTCTATCATCTCTCCCGGGACCTGCCCACCTCACACCTCATCCGAGGAAGGCCCACCATACTTGCACGGTGTTTGGCAAATTCCATGTTTGCGGAAAGCTGGATGGCTTTCTTGAGGACCACTTGCCAGGGGTATTTATGAAGCTATCCACATCGTGCATCCGTGAGCGGTCCCATACACATCCAACGATCTCCTGCATGGTCAGCAGCTGCCCAGTTGCTGCAACAGGTGGTTGCCAGGTGGTGGCGGTTAAAACACATCCGGCCCTTGATGTTGTCAGTGTCAAATCGACTCATCCTTCACGCCGTCTCGGCTCTAACCCAAGGACCACTACCCACTTCAGGTGGGTGGGTGGAGGCTTGAGAAACCCGCTGGCTGCCGCGTTATCAAAGAGATGGTCAAAGCTTAGACGAGGTGTTCTATGTGAGTGTCCCATGAAAACTCGTCTTTGTAAAGGGCACGGCCGGCCTGCTGTTGCAACTTTAGCATTCGTGGCACTGAGATTCGAGCTGTAAATCCGGTGCAGGATTAGGTGAATAGAATGCCTTCGTTCTCTGGGGAGTACACGATAGTAGGCCCGAACCTCCACCGAGTGCAGCTTCCGGCTTGTGAGTTATGAGAAGTGGCAACAGTTAGAGGGGAACGAGATATATTACAACAGAAATGAGTACAATCAAATTAATCCCAACACAGGGTCTGTGTAATTATCGATAAGTCAAGAAAAGAGGGAAGAAATGAAAGGCGCTGCGACAACTGATGCCATTAGCCGGACTACAGGGCTCGAGCGGCGGAGCAGTTGCCTTCGGATATGCAGCCAGGTCAGTGTTAGGTTACCTCGTCGAGAAAAGTCAGGCTTACCATAGAATTGACCAAATGTTTGTGTGTTTGCGTTGACGGAGATTGATAAGGTCTGCTGACGATGTTCAATAGGGAACACATCCAAACTAACACCCCCTAACCGAATGAACAGGGGCATCAGGGGATTCCTCTCATTATTCGAGCGGAAATATACGCACAGTTGTAATGACCATCCCTTCTGGTTTTATAGTGGAACCACACCCAACCACCTAGCGTGACAGGGAAGTTGACATTCCCTTGGGCCGTGCAGGTTTGGAGACTGACGTCCACTTCTACCTTAGCCGGGCCGTTGCAAGTAACGGTGACCTGCACTGTAGAGCGAGCATCATTCGTGGACGTAGTGGTGGAGCCTTTGGTGTTCGTGAGAGAGACAGAAAGAGTTTCTGATGAATTGAGACTGATTTAAGAGAGCGAATTCAGTGAACCAAGAGGGTCGCCCACCGGAGATTGAGTAGAGTAGGAACCCAAGCATAAGCTCAGCTGTAAACTGGGTTGAGTGACCTATATCAGTAGAAGCTAGGATATGGTGTATCAATGACGGTATCGGTGGATGCTAGCGCATCTTGACCTACTTTCAACCGTGGTCGAGGCGCTGACGGAGGAGCCTTGGAAAATATTTACTTGGGCAGAAGTGGAACCCTCTGCCTAGAAAACATAAGGGCCAACGATGAATTGTTGTAACATAGCTGGGGGCGGAAGGACTTACAATGTATCCGGTGAGGTTCATGGTTGAGTTCGAGCATATGGGATTTGAATTCCACGTTGCTGTGAACTGCATCGGGCTCGGGTAGCACGCTTGTGCTGGACCGTCCAACTATTTCGGGTCAATGGAGTCGTTCCAGTGGTACTGATGAGTGCACGTACGTTAGGGGGGTTTACTCTTATGCTGTCCCAATCGCCACCCCAGTTGACCGTAGCAAAGTTCTGATATTGGTGACTCATCGAGGATTAGATTGAAGTTTTCAGACGCATACCTTGACATCTTGCAGAGCATCACCCATTGCATTCAGCTGATCCATATTGATCAACTGGCACAAACCCTGCTGACGGCTGAGGAGAGAGCCACCAATCATAGAGTTGTACAACGTCGTCGCCTCTTCCTCACTCATCTGAGCCCGGCCGCTGGGCCACCTCCGCAGGGAAGGAGTAGCCTGGGTTGACAGGACGAAAGCCGGGACGATGACAAAAAGCGTAGAAATGGCGACCATAGATAATGGAGCGGTACTTCTGGTAAGCTAGAGAAAACGAAAAGGATCGAGATGCGCCTGCAGAGATCCTGCCAAAGCATTGACGCTCCTTTACCTCGTTTTATGCATCTCAGCGACCGCCAACTGGGTCCAAGCACAGCTTGTGCTAATCGCTAACAAAGTATCGAATTGTTCTTGGCGCGGTGGATGGTTTTTAGGCGCCCCTGCGCGCTGGCGCGTCCTTGTACAGACTGGGATCCTGGTTAGGTCTCACCCGCCTTCATTGCTTCACTCACACTTCCAAAAAATCCCGTGCGTGCGTCCATGAACTTCACTGGAGGGAATGCATGGCTATCTTGTTCTTCGGGTCCCAGCAACCCTGATTATCGTGGCGAACACAGCCCGTCCCTCCAGCAAGGTTTCTCAGCACCCTAAGTCCTCGCTCCGTCCCAAAATGTTTCCAAGTGTTCGTGACCATTTCCGTTGATGGTGACACAGCGCACATAGCCTTGGGCACATGGGGGATTTTGGCGCGCGCCCGCCCACCTTCGGAACCAACCAACGGAATTTCATGATGCGTAGCTGACTTCTGACGACAGCTCCGGTGTGGCGGCATTGTCTGCGACGCACTTGAGCGATTGGATAGGCCGTCCCAGCCGTCCTTCTGGGAGAAATGGAATAACGACTGGTTCTCTGGTGCAACGATGCATCCATGTCATGCATGAGTAAGTTGCGTACCTCCAACACCGCCTTTGTGAGGTGAATATGAATTGGCGGTGCAGCGCTGGTCCACTTGCGGAAGACAGGCTTGAACTGGCTCGGGAGAAATGTGGAGCATTGGCAATGAATCACTTTCAGCGCCAATGGTGGCGTCAGGGGGTGGCCAACGAGGAATTTGAATAAGTGGAGCAGCGAGCTCGGTGAAACAAGATTTCAGCGAATGTGCGGAATCGTGGAAGCAGACTGCCATCTCCAACAGCGAGTAGGAGCCAGGAACAAAAAGCGAAAACGTCCCGGGTTCAAGTCCTTGCACGGCAAGTACCCCAGTCTAAGTCTGGTAACATGCCACAGCAGAAAGCAAAGCCAAAGCCAAAAAAGCTCGCGAGTATGTAAGCAATGACACAAGCTGCTTGTCGAAGCCTGCAAGCCCAACGTTCTGAATAGCTGCATGCAGCGTGGACAGCTGCGTTCAAGTCTATGGTATGTAAGTTCTACGACTAGCGCCGATAGCTTGGGCCCTTCACAAGGGGTCGCTGCGGGCGTTGGTGCGATTCGTCAGCTCGAGAACAACGCCAAATTCGTTAACCAGTCGGCATCCACTTGAGATGGAAAGTGGACCCATTGCAACACATAGCTGCCACTGCGCTACGTTACATAATTTCTTGAGTTAACAATTACCTTGTTTTCACTCTAACAATTTGTGGGAATCTTACATAACTTTCCCACCCTGTTGCTTCTTTAGGTACAGGCAAGGGCAGCGGAGCGCCCTTCCAGTTCTATTCTAATAGTGGCTGGTGACCTGCCTACCTTCCAGTGCAACAGGGAGATGGGGGATCTGTTCTATTACAGCTAGTCCTCGGGATCGCTCTCTTCCCGCTAAAGACAAGCCAAAGAGAGGCCGGTCACCCGCCTATATCGTCGGGGTTTGGTGTCCGTATCTAACTATGATGGGGAAATTATAGTCCTTCTCTGCTCTATGCCCTTGTTCCGTCTGCCTCTCTCTCTGCGTCTCCCGGCTCTGCGTCTGCCGAATTTCGTTTGGGATCGGATCCGTCTCGGGTGTTCGTACGTTTGTCGGACGCCTTCAATGGGTTAGGCAGGTTACCAGCCTCCACCCTTGGGTCGGTCATTGTCTCAAGCTTCCCACGTTACCCAGGAGGACTTTAATGGGAACTCATGTGGCCGTGTGATGTATTGGTGATGTACATGTCTTTGCTTTCCGTTCTACCACGAACAGTACATCGCCGTGGCGGTTTCCAAATATTCAGGGATAGCGAGAGCAGCAGCTGGGATGGGCCCAATAACTTCCAGCAGAAGAGTCTTGCTTGCTTGCTGGAAGGTTGTCGCTCAGGCTGAGCGGAACGAATACACGTGTGAGCATACCGGGGGCGATTCTCATCACCGCGAAGACGCATTTATGTAACGGTGATAAGAGCCTAAATATCGCATGGTCAGTTTTAGCCATTGGACCGTTGCGAATTATTACTACTGAAACTTTAAGGCTGGAACTTGGGCAACCACAGGAATTGCGGGTGTGGGACGGTGTATGTATCACTAGTTGCCTCGATCCAAGCGGACAATGCCTATATAGCATTCCTTGGGTCACCCTTTCGGTTTTGATATCGTATTCCAAAGCACCGTTGTGAAACAACAATACTCGATTTCCATCATCTCCCGGGACCTGCCCACCTCGATCTCGCACCTCGTCCGAGGAAAGTCTATCATACTTGCACTGTGCTTGGTGAATTTCATTACGGGAAGCTGGATGGCTTTCTTGAGGTCCACTTGCAAGGGGTATTCACGAAGCTATTCACATCGTGCATCAGTGAGCGGTCCCGTACACGTGCAACGGTCTCCTTGCACGGTCTGCCCAAGCTGCCCAGTTGCTGCAACAGGTGGCGGTAATAAAACACATCTGACGCTTGATGTTGTCAGTGTTAAATCGACTCATCCTTCACGCCGTTTTGGCTCTAACCTGGGGAACAGTACCAACTTCAGGTGGGTGGTGGAGGCCTGAGAAACCCGCTGGCTGCTGCATTATCAAAGAGACGGTCAAAGCTTAGACGAGGTGTTCTGAGTGAGTGTTCCATGAAAACTCGTCTTTGTAAAGGGCACGGCCGGCCTGCTGTTGCAACTTGAGCATTCACGGCACTGAGATTCAGACTGTAAACCCGGATAGGATTAGGTGAATAGAATGCCTTCGTTCTCTGGGAAGTAGCACGATAGTAGGGCTGAACCTCCACCGAGTGCGGCTTCCGGCTTGGGAGTTATGAGACTGAGTGGGCATCAGTTAAGAGGGAAACGAGATATATTACAATAAAAATAAGTACATCAAATAATCCCGATACAGGATCCGTGTAATTATTATTATTGATAAGTCAAGAAACGAGGGAAGGAAAAAAATAAAAGGCGCTACGATAATTGATGCCATTAGCTGGGCTACAGAGAGCTCAAGCGGGGGAACAGTTGCCTTCGGATGTGCAGCCCAGGTCAGTGTTAGGTTACCTCATCGAGAGAGAGAAAAGTCAAGCTTACCGTAGAAGTGACCGAATGTCTGTGTGTTTGCATTGACGGAGATCGATAGGGTCTGCTGACGATGTTCAATAGGGAACACATCCAGATGAACGGCCCCTAACGAATGAACAGGGGGGTATCAGAAAATTCTCCTCATTATTCAAGAAGAAATCTACGCACATCTGTAATGACCATCCCTTTTGTTTTTGTAGTAGAACCACACCCAGCCACTTAGCGTGACAGGGAAGTTGACATTCCCTTGGGCCGTGCAGGTCTGGAGATCGACGTCCACTTCTACGTTAGCCGGGCCGTCGCATGTAACGGTGTCCTGCACTGTAGAGCGAGCATCATTTGTGGACGTAGTGGTGGAACCTTTGGTGTTCGTGAGAGAAACAGAAAGAGTTTCTGATGAATTGAGACTAATTTGAGGGAGAGCGAATTTAGTGAATCAAGAGGGTCACCTACCGGAGACTGAGTAGGAGACCTCTGCTATTTCTGGGATTCCAATCTTGACCCCAGCCGTAAACTGGGTTTCGGTACCTATATCAGTAGAGGCTAGGATATGGTGTATTAATGGCAGTATCGGCGGGTGCTAGCGCATTCTCAACCTACTTTCAACCGTGGTCGAGGCGCTGACGGAGGAGCCTTGGTAAATATTTACTTGGGCAGCATTGGTACCCTCTGCCTAGGAAATATATGGGCCAATGATGAATTGTTGTAACATAGCTGGAGGCGGAAGGACTTACAATGTATCCAGTGAACTTGGTGCTTGAGCTCGAGCATGTAGGATCTGAATTCCACGTTGCCGTGAACTGCATCGGGCTCGGGTAGCAGGCTTGTGCTGGACCGCCTAACTGTTTCGGGTCAATGGTGTCATTTCCGATGGTACAGTTGAATGCACATACATCAGGGGGGTTTACTTTTATGGTGTCCCAATCGCCGCCCCAGTTGGCTGTGGCATAGTTCTGATATTAATGATTCAATATAATTTATCAAGGATTAGATTAAAGTTTTAGACGCATACCTTGACATCTTGCAGAGCATCACCCATTGCATTCAGCTGAGCTATAGTGATCATCTGGCACAAATTCTGCTGACGGCTGAGGAGAGAGCCACCGATGGTGGAGTTGTACAATGTCTTCGCCTCTTCCTCACTCATCTGAGCCGGGCCACTAGGCCACCTCCGCGGGGAAGGAGCAGCCTGGGCTAACAGGACGAAAGCCGGGACGATGACAAGGAGCGTAGAAATGGCGACCATCAATAATAGAGCGGTGCTTTTGGTAAGCTAGAGTGCGTCTGCGGTGATCCTGTCAAAGCATTGGCGTTCCTTTACTTTTATGAATCTCAGCCGGGTCCAAGCGCCATGGACGCAGTGCAACATGCCATTTCCCGCCCCTTGCGGAGACAGTGATGATGAACACGGCCTGTGCTAATCGCTGACAAAGTATTGAATTGAATGGTTGGCCTGGCGCGGCGCTGATGGGTGGCTCTGCCAGATTCGACTGTGCCATCTGTCAAGACCTTGTTCCTGCCAAGAGCGGTGGATGGTTTTTGGGAGCGCCTGCGTATTGGTCCTCGTAGAGGCTGGGATCGTGGTCAGGTCTCATGCACCTTCATTGCATCACTCACACCCATGATCGCAATGCGTGGCTACCTCGTTCTTCCGCTCCTAGCAACCCTGATTACCACGGCGAATTCAGTCTGTCCCTCGGAATGCACTTCAGCCAAGTATCTCTGCGCCCTAAGTGGTGACGGCCTCCTCGCCCCGTCCCAAAAAAGTTTCTGAGTTTTCGTGCCCATTTCCGTTGACGGTGACACCGCACACCTGTACATAGCCTTGGGCACATGAAGCATTTTCGCACGCGCGCGCGCGCGTCTGTCCACTTCTGGAGCTAGCCATCGGAAGATGCGTAGCTGGCTTCTGGCGACAGCTCTGGTGCGGTTGCACACGGCGACATCCCCTGTTGCGTACTTGAGATAGGCAGCCCCAGCCGTCCTTCTGGGGCTTGATTGCAGAGATGGAATAACAATAAGTTCTCTGAAACAACGGTGCATCTATGTCATGCATGTGCCTCCAACACGGCCTTTGTGGGGGTGCGGTGCAAGGATCACGCGCTGGTCCACTTGCGGAAGACGAGCCGGTCGATCCTTGAACTACCTCGGGAGAAGCCCTTTATCATGTGGAGCCATTGGCAATGAATCACTTCCACCGCCACTGGCGGTGTCGACTCGGGGTTGTTAAGTATACATAAGACTGATGGTGATACATTCCCCAATATAATGTGGCTCATACAATCGTGGGTAAGCTGTGACCGGCGATTGACCTTCGCTTAATATAATGCTTTGGCTGTTAATTGGTTTTTGCATCTGAGATTCACAAACCGCCACGCCTCACGGACACTTTTTCAAACGTTATTTCCCTTTGCAACCCCGACCCGAGTAGGCAACGACCCCCCCTGACCGACCCAACAAGTCAGAGGTCGAATCGTCTTCTGCACCCTCCAGTCGAGATGACACGAGAGAAACAGGAATCAGCTCACGTCAGCAATAAACGAATGGTATGGAATGCCTCCGGAACGCGCGACTGAAACCGTCACATGAAGCAGTGGATTCGTAGTGCTCGGACCAATCTCCGGCCGGCGAGGAGAGGGAAAAGGAAGATAGGTTCGCAGACCTGGATGTCACGCACGCACAGCGTAGAACCCGGGGAGTTGGGCAACGTTTAGCATTAGGTGGCCAGGTGGTCAGTGCGCTCCAGCGACGCAAAGGGATGGTCTCAACATCGTGCCACCAACTGTGCGTGCATTATGGGAAGACAGAAACGCGGGAGGGAGAGGGAAATATAGAGAGCACGGTGTAATAGAAGGGGAGGGGACAACAGCCCACTATACCCAGCTGCAACTTATCACATAGATCGACAGAAAGGATAATACAACGTGAGAAAAATGCGTTATTTCAACAGCGTTTATGATAGCGGAGAAGCGAAACGGACGGTAAATGCGGGTAATAGACAGTGCCAGCGTCGGCGAAGCTAATTGGCATTGACGACAGCGGTGATGAAAAGGTCATCGCATTGGTCGAGGTGGCCACTGAATAAGTGGAGCAGCAGGACGGGGGACTCGGTGAGAGAGGGGAAGCAAGATTTCAGTAAATGTGCGGAATGGTGGAAGCAGACTGCCATCACCGGCAGCAAGTAGAAGCCAGGAGCAAAAAGCGAAAACGGCCCGGGGTTCGGGTCCTTGCATGGCAAGTACCCAATACTGAACGCAGTCTAAGAGTACTGGCAATATGCCACAGCAGAACGCAAAATCAAAGAAGTTCGCGAGTATGTAAGCAGTGACCACAAGCTGCTCATTTGTCGAAGCCTGCAAGTCCAACGATTTGAATAACGTGGACAGGTGCGTTTAGGTTTATGGTTACGACTTGCAGGGTGTCCCCGGTCCGGGACTCGTTGTCACGTGGTGGAGTATACTGTACTCCACACGACCAACGGCCGGTTCCCACGGCCTCCGGCAATTCCCGGAGGCACCCAATCAATTCAGTTGTATTGATTTTTAATTCAATCCAAGACCTTCGTGTGACACGTGACCGGTTGTTGGTCGAGTATCCGGGTTGGGTTTGGGTACATGGCTGGCATCATGTTAACGTCGTGCAGCTAGTCCTCGTCGTCGGGGTTTGGTGTCTGTATCTAACTAAATCATAGTCCTTCTCTGCTATATGCCCTCCGTCCTGTCTCTCCCTGAGTCTCCCGGCTTTGCATCTACCGAATTCCGTTCGGGGATCGGATCGGGACGCCTTCGGGATTTCGCCAATTGGGTAATCACCCTGGTCGGCCATTGTCTTAAAGCTTCGCACGATGAAGATATCATGCGCAATACATAAATCGGCCGATCCAACTTAAATTGCATATACATATCTAGACGCTAGCGTTCGTCTATCCCGACACTCAAGCGATCAGAACGTGTGTTGGTTGGGGGTTGGGTTTTAGTTCTGGATATCTAAAATAAACGCACGGAAATAAAGTACAAAATAAGAGATGCGCTCAATCGGGTGTCTCGTTGTTCACACGTTTGCAACTTTCACGCCCCCTTTTGCTTCGGCATGAAGTACTCAATTACATATGTCTCAATACAGAAGCCGGGTTTGAACGTGTCACTGGAAGCTTCTCTCCTTTACTTGAACAAACCCCGTCGACTCTACAAAAAATATTTGTACGCGTAGGGGGCTCTAGGGAGCACCCCCTTCACCCATACCCACATCCCAGGCGTGTCAGCGCGTTCGAGAGAGAGAGACCTAACTCAATGGTGGGGCTACCACTTTGCGGACTCGTGGTGTTGTTCACTTGTGGTGTATTCGGTGACTTTGTGTCCTCGCCACCAATTCCAAGCGACAAGACGACTCCGATTCATCAACGCTTGGCATTTCGTGGCCCCACTGGTGAGCCCAAAAAAAAAAATAGCCTCCCCTCCCATGTTATCAGGAGCTTCAGCTAATGTTAATGTTTTCATGTTTTGTAGCGATGGTCGTAGCTTGGAATACTTTCCAGCGGATTGCCACTCCAACTGTTCACTATGGAACTCGCATCGACGCATTGACGTCCAGCGCGTCAAGTGATTCCAGTGTCACATTTCCGACCTCACGCACTTGGGCGAACACCGTCGTACTCACTGACTTGCAGCCATACACGACTTATTGTATGTAAAAAATATGTTATGTTCCTAATCGTCTCCACCATCGTGTATGTCTGACAATCTTGTCCCATGGGTTGGCAGATTACAAAATCGAGTCGACGAACTCCAGCGTGTTGACATTCACTACCGCTCGTATTCCTGGTGACATGACTCCCTTTACAGCAGCCGCTGTCATCGACATGGGTCTCTTCGGGAAGGATGGGATGACCGTTCCAGCTTCTAAGCGGCACCTCATTCCCCGTATCGAGCCCGGTCTCGAGCATACCACTATCGGGGCATTAGACCGAATGAGTTCAGAATACGACTTTATCATTCATCCCGGTGATATCGCATATGCAGGTACGTACGGTGTTGGGCGCGCGCGCGCGTGGGGTTATAGCTTTAAACATCCATATAATGCAGATAATTGGATTACTGCAAATCCTCTTTATGCGTTCTTCCAAGCGCAAGCTTACGAGTCTATCACGGAACGATTCTTGTGAGTTTTGCAGCGAACACTTATTCGACATGCTCCCGGCAGCTCCCCCTGACTTTCGAATTCAGTTTACAGTTGCAGTCCATAAGCGGCATCAAACCTTACATGGTCGGTCCAGGGAATCACGAAGGTGATCTCTCTCCATCATCATTTCAGCGTGATCAAGCGGTCAGGACACTGCTTACCATAATCGGTCCTCCTTCTCCTTGTAGCTACCTGCGTGGAGATGCCGTTCCCATGTGCAGCCGGACAGGTCCGCCTTTTTTCCATTTCTTATAGAGCACCAAAACAGTTGTCTTAATATTCTGGGATTTGAAAAAAAAAATTTTTTCCCGCCGTTTTCCAGAAAAACTTTTCCTCATTCATTAACCGCTACGGTCTCGTCATGCCGACTGCAACGACCATAAATTCCCTAACCTCGGTCGCCGCAGCCGCCGCGCGTGCACATGCCTCTAGGCTCGCTAAGCCTCCGTTCTGGTATTCATTTGACTACGGCATGGCTCATTTTGTCATGTTTGATACGGAAACGGATTTGGGTAACGTTCGTATTTTGTAATTGGATGCTGTGATGTGGGCTGATTTAGCATGGCAATGTGAAAAACAGGGGATTATTGGACCGGATGAACCTGGTGGCGGCGCAAACCTCGGGAGTGGTCCATTTGGCGGGAAGAATCAGCAGTTCAATTTCCTGCAACAGGATCTCGCCAGTGTGGATCGTGCTGTTACACGTATGACAACCTTCGCGCAATTGGGGGTTCTGCTGCTGTGGCTGATCGTTGATATCTACAAATAGCTTGGCTTATTGTCGCGGGGCATCGTCCGTGAGTGTGCCACTATGACACCAGAAAGAGTCCGCCAAGAAAGATGTGCATTCATCGTAGGTGGTACTCTGCCAAGCCAACTTGCTCAGAGTGTCAAAAGGCTTTTGAGTCTTTGTTTATACAATACGGTGTCGATTTGGCGGTCTTTGGTACGTCGTAATCACATTGACTGATGAGAGACTGAATTTTCCTCACAGGACACGTGCACAACATGCAGGAGATCGCACCAATTGGTAAGACTCTGGGATTCGGTTGTTTCTAGACATCATTCCCACAGACTTACCTTGATGACGTTTACTAGCTAACGACGTCGTAGACCCAGCTGGCCTAAATAATCCCAAGGCACCGTGGTACAGTAAGCGTACTCCCCCTTTTTTTTTTCTCATCGTGGGGTTACGTAAAAATTCACCTTGTGCATCACCCTATCAGTTGTTACTGGGGCAGCCGGCAACATCGAGGGACTCGCCCCACTTGGTGAACAACCCTCATACATCACTTGGGCCGATGACACCGTATTCGGTTTCAGCAAGCTCTTGTTTCAAGACCGAAACCACCTCACAGTCCAATTCGTTCGTTCTAGGGATGGAGTGATATTAAGGAATTCGACCCTTTATAAGGCACATACGACGAGATTCGTTGGAGCGTTAGCCGGCGTGAAATGGTCGCAGTAGGGGCAGTTTATCAATCTATTTTGAATGGACTTGCTTCGCTTCCATTATTGTGCAGTTGGCGTTCGTGATCGCTTGTGTTGATGACCGATGTCCAAGTTCAATTTCATTATGATTATTATTATGTCCTGACCCCTTACTTAATTTGGAGGCTTCCACGGTTCGGGATCATGATTATTAATTTTCCCGACTTTTCCCGTGCGGACTGAGCTTAGTTGCCGGCGGACTCGTGTTTGGTGTGAAACTTCCGCAACAGACGCAACGTCATGTAAGTCGTGGCAGAGAACAATTACATGCATGAAACCTCAACTCTTTGGCATCTGAATAATGCCACTTCAAGCCCAGGTTATCTCCCATACGCCCGCCGATGGGACATCGCGAATGGTTTAGCCCAGACATTTCAGCCACCTCCGCAAAGCACGTCACGCCTATATATATAGCCATCCGCGTCAACTCATCACCCCCCACAAAGCCCCGGGACACTCCGGAGCCGAATTCCCACGCACCATTCATTTATCCCCTCGTGACAAGTGCCGATACCACCCCTTCCACGCTCCTGTAAGATGTCGTTGAAACGAGCCATCCAAGACGAGGTGACTGACCGGGAAGTTATATTGAGAGCATCGGCAATACGGGGTGAGCGCTTTTTACAATAAAATGGAAAACCATTTCCTCAACACTTCTCTCTCAACTAAGGCGTACAAATTGCCTCACTTGTCGCTCCCGTTGGATACATCATCTACTCCATCCGAAGCCCCAGACGCTACTAACTGCGAATAGGATTCTACGGGCTACGTGGGTTAGCAGTGGTGTGGGTGGTGCTGTTGGTGCTGCGTCTGGTTTCTATCAGGGAACACAGAGTCCCACTGCGCTTCGGGAACATCAGCAACAGTTGACCTACGATGTACGCATCCTCACTCCGTTCCTTCGCGAGTTCTTCTTCGTGCTCTTTCTGTGTATACTCATCCATCGTCAAAAACCTGATATGTCATCCCTAGGTCAATCGCATTCGGGCACAAGATTATTCTATTATTGGTTCGGTCCTTTCCACTCCCTTCATCACCGCTTTCCTATGGAGACGAGCTCGACTGATACATCTGATACTTGGTGGAGCAGGCTTAGGAACCGGCGCAGGGTATGGTTATCATATTTGGCGTTTCATCATGGAAGGAGGTGCTCCACCGGGCACAGCTGTTCCACTTGTACAAACAGGGGCGGAAGAAGCGCACAGCGATCACTGACAAGGTATTATTTGTCGTCGATCTAGCATAAAGTTAAAGCATGGGAGCATATATGTATAGAAGTCAGTGTATTTACGTATTGCGCATCTATAACGATAATTGCATGTACT